ACTACATACTCACACACACACACACACACACAAACACAGATTTTTACACTCATCAAATGCTGCTGCTACTCTGTTCTTTATTTTACTCTTATTATTATCTATCCGGATGCCTAGTCACTTTCCCTGCCTTCGTGTACATATCTACCTTAAATACCTCGTGCCGCTGCACATTGATCAGGTACTGGTACTCCCTGTATATCACTCCATCCCTGTGTATTATATTGTATTCCTTGTGTTAGTTACTATATTATTTTTTATTATTATTCCTAAACTCTGCTTTGTTGGAAAAGGTTCATAAGCAAGCATTTAACTGTAAAGTCTACATTAGTTGTATGTGATAATACAATTTGATTTGATTTGTGCGCACGCAAACAAAATGCATAATGCCACACACCCAAAAGCAAAGCTGACCCCTCAGCCATTCTCTTTGATTCAGATCTAGTAGGCTATGCTATGTATGTCACTGATGAATAGACAGCATAGTAATAGCTCAGGGGTGTTGATGGTGTTGACAGACAAAACAGACATTTCTGACAACCAAAAAACAACCTTTCCACAAGGCTATGGGCAGAGTCCCTCAGCTGGCATCGGTCCAATACCCCCCTCCAAGCCCTGCCTCTAGCCACATACCAATATGGGACAACAAAGAATAAATTACATCATGCTGCCACAAAGCACACTGAAAACAGCCAATTAGCACCATGGTTTGCGTATTCAACCAGATGATGAACCAGGCCTACATTATCATATAAAAACACTAGTCTGTGAAACGGGTTTGTCTGATCTGCTTTGTAACCCTCAAATGAAGAAGTTCTACAGAGCCATGAGTTTGTTTTTGTCTGGTGTGAGAATGGTCACAACAACAAGGCGAGATCATTAGAGGTTGGGGAGCGGGCAAATAAAGGGAAGGGGGAGAGAGGGAAGGAACGTGTGTGTGAGGGGGTAAAGAAAGTGTGTATATGCTATGTGTGTGTGTACAAGAAAAGGGAAATGTGTGTCTGTGTGTGTGTGTCTAGAGAGTGAGTGAGGGGTGGGGGAGGGGCGAGTAGGGACCTCGGGGAAGCCACTCTGAAAGGTTCCTGGAACAATGGAGCTCCGTTCACACGGCAACAGCAGAGTGCTCCCATGCATGCCTCCCCTCTCCCCTCCCCCAGACCTCCTTTAACGTCCCCTGAAAAGAGGGCACTCCACTCAGAAAGGAAGAGAGGAGAGAAAGAGTGAGAGAGGGGGAAGAAAAGGTAAGAGAGGTGGAAGAGAGAGACATGGAAAAATTGTAAATAGAGAAGGGGGGAGAGAGCGAAGGAAGGAAAGGAGGAAAGGGGATTCCTAGTCAGTTGTACAACAATGCGTTCAACTGAAATGTGTCTTCTGCATTTAACCCAACCCCTCTGAATCAGAGAGGTGTGGGGGGCTGCCTTAATCAACGTCCACGGCGCCCAGAGAGCATTTGTTGTTGAGGGTTAACTGCCTTGCTGAAGGGCAGAACGGCAGATTTAAAACCACAGGTAGCCTCTCAGATGTACCATTAGCAGTACATTAGCCAACTCCAGAGCTCAGAGAGCTGAGGGCCTTTGAACTTCACTAGAGAGACATGCTGACTGCTGCCACCAGGAGGTTGTGCTTCCTGTCTCCCTTAAGACCCTCCACACACACACACACACATTTTACTATGGATGCCGAAATTCCATTAGGGTTGGAGCAGGGAAACATGATCAATTTATGAGTCAGGTACAGCCTCTTGCTTTGAAGGAGGCTGGAGAGCTTGTGGTGAGGTCATAAATATTGCAAGAAAAAATGAAGTAAAATCTCCTACTCTGACATTACTGGATCTTCATTTTCTCTACAATATGCAATATGGCTATTCTCCCTAACAGCCTATATCTTTATGAATAGAACTGTCTGTTGTTAATTATAGCAAGTGACCCTTTTAACTGACGTGTCACTGCCCTAAATTCACAGAATAATGTAGTCTAATTCACATTGTAGGCTAGTTCATCTATCTTGCTCTCAGTAGTGTGTGGGAGAGCAACAAAAGCAGCCGTCTGTGTGCTGGGTGCAGTCAGTGCACACACACACACACACACACACACAACATAGCCTACACATGACATGCATGCATAACTAATTGCAAGCGCGATCAATCCAAGTTCCGCACCGTCGCTTCCCGTTACTGATGGGCTGACCGTTATCCGTTTACCGATTCTATTTTCCAGCCGCCACAGATTGCGACAATATTTTATAGCCGGACTCTTTCTAAATCAAATGCAGTTTGTACGTTTCAGTTAACAATAATCAACCGGTTCCGAGCAAAGCGGTTGCCAAATGGAGTGTGCAGTAGGCTAGAGTTTAATTGAAAGAATCGGGCCTTGGACACAGAGAACACGTAACCCCCTTGTGCTTTATCATTATCTTCTATTGGGGTCTACTAGTGATGGCCGGCGGCTACGTCCAGTCAGTGGTCGACTTTGTAGTTTGGCCATTTGCATTAACGCAATTCTACATATATAAAAATATTCAATTAGGGCCAAATATAGACAGTTTGTTGAGTAACATTCCGATTCTCATCATGAGATATAAAAGCATAGTAAAAACCCTCACCAGCAGTCAGAAATGTAATAGATTTAAGTCCGTCCGCATGTCCAGTTAGATACTCCTGCTGATCGCGCTGCCATCCTGTGTCGCTGGCGGTCTGGCCACTCCAAACGATCCACCGCGGGGGGGCCGGGACCCACCCGCAGCCCCAGCCTATCAGCATTCAGCAACTGGGATTTAATGAGTGGTGGGTGTTCCCATTGTCAAATCGTAGCCCTTGAAACGCATGAGTGACATCGAGGTTCCCCGTTTGATACCTCGTCGGGCATGGATAGGACAGGGTCTCTGCTCAGGGTGGATAGGGGAGGCTACCCAGGGCTTAACATTTTATGCAATCCAGTCCCCATACAGGGTTAACATTAAACGCTTGAAATAAACATACACTGCTCAAAAAAATAAAGGGAACACTTAAACAACACAATGTAACTCCAAGTCAATCACACTTCTGTGAAATCAAACTGTCCACTTAGGAAGCAACACTGATTGACACATTTCACATGCTGTTGTGCAAATGGAATAGACAACAGGTGGAAATTATAGGCAATTAGCAAGACACCCCCAATAAAGGACTGGTTTTGCAGGTGGTGACCACAGACCACTTCTCAGTTCCTATGCTTCCTGCCTGATGTTTTGGTCACTTTTGAATGCTGGCGGTGCTTTCACTCTAGTGGTAGCATGAGACGGAGTCTACAACCCACACAAGTGGCTCAGGTAGTGCAGCTCATCCAGGATGGCACATCAATGCGAGCTGTGGCAAGAAGGTTTGCTGTGTCTGTCAGCGTAGTGTCCAGAGCATGGAGGCGCTACCAGGAGACATGCCAGTACATCAGGATTAGTGGAGGAGGCCGTAGGAGGGCAACAACCCAGCAGCAGGACTGCTACCTCCGCCTTTGTGCAAGGAGGAGCAGGAGGAGCACTGCCAGAGCCCTGCAAAATGACCTCCAGCAGGCCACAAATGTGCATGTGTCTGCTCAAACGGTCAGAAACAGACTCCATGAGGGTGGTATGAGGGCCCGACGTCCACAGGTGGGGGTTGTGCTTACAGCCCAACACGTGCAGGACGTTTGGCATTTGCCAGAGAACACCAAGATTGGCAAATTCGCCACTGGCGTCCTATGCTCTTCACAGATGAAAGCAGGTTCACACTGAGCACATGTGACAGACGTGACAGAGTCTGGAGACGCCGTGGAGAACATTCTGCTGCCTGCAACATCCTCCAGCATGACCGGTTTGGCGGTGGGTCAGTCAAGGTGTGGGGTGGCATTTCTTTGGGGGGCCGCCATGTGCTCGCCAGAGGTAGCCTGACTGCCATTAGGTACCGAGATGAGATCCTCAGACCCCTTGTGAGACCATATGCTGGTGTGGTTGGCCCTGGGTTCCTCCTAATGCAAGACAATACTAGACCTCATGTGGCTGGAGTGTGTCAGCAGTTCCTGCAAGAGGAAGGCATTGATGCTATGGACTGGCCCGCCCGTTCCCCAGACCTGAATCCAATTGAGCACATCTGGGACATCATGTCTCGCTCCATCCACCAACGCCACGTTGCACCACAGACTGTCCAGGAGTTGGCGGATGCTTTAGTCCAGGTCTGGGAGGAGATCCCTCAGGAGACCATCCGCCACCTCATCAGGAGCATGTCCAGGCATTGTAGGGAGGTCATACAGGCACGTGGAGGCCACACACACTACTGAGCCTCATTTTGACTTGTTTTAAGGACATTTCATCAAAGTTGGATCAGCCTGTAGTGTGGTTTTCCACTTTAATTTTGAGGGTGACTCCAAATCCAGACCTCCATGGGTTGATACATTTGATTTCCATTGATAATTTTTGTGTGATTTTGTTGTCAGCACATTCAACTATGTAAAGAAAAAAGTATTTAATAAGATTATTTCATTCATTCAGAACTAGGATGTGTTATTTTAGTGTTCCCTTTATTTTTTTGAGCAGTGTATTTTGGGGATGGAGGATTTGGCCTAGCCTACAGTTTGAAATGGCCTAATAACAAGGGGTTAGGGTGTTTTCTAAAGGTGTTTTTGGGAGCAAATGCAACTTGGAAGTGGCTGGTTTAATGATAGAGCTGGACTGGTTCCATTCTAGCAGTTTTAGTAACTGACTGGGATGACTGCATATGTTAGGGACGCACACAAGCTTTACACTGGGCAAAGGGAGCAGACTATTTTGGGAGAGGGCAACCTCATCTTCTGTGTGTGTGTGTGTGAGAGACAGAGAAAAAGAGAGAAAGACAGATGGAGAGAGGGCAGTAAACGAGAAAATAACTTGGACAGAAAAAGGAGGATGGACTGGGATTGTTCCATTATTGAAGACACTGTTCTATTCCTGGAAGAGAACATAACCTGGAAAAGGGAAAAAGCACTTTAACACAGACAGACAGAAACCCCCAACTCCAATGTTAACGTTTTCACTTTTTATTGTCAGGATACTTGCTTCATGTAAAATATTTAAATACAATACAGTACAATGCATGTTCCATATGCTGTCCTCCACACGATTGGTTGGTTTTGTCATTATGAAGTTCTAAGGTTTTGCCCACAGCGATAAAAACGGCTGCTCTCTCTCAGCCCAACGGAAGCTGCTTCGCCACTGTTTTTTATACAGTCAGTGAAAACAAAACCAAGGAAAACTCATTCAATTATAAACTACTAATATCAAGTTTTTTTTCTTATTATTTTGTTTTTTTGTTTGTTTTTGTCTCAATAACGCCCTCAACAAGAGCTGTGGATGGGGCCCACAAACTCCCAGCATGCTCCTGTCAGCAGCTCAGTTCAGTCCCCAGCGAAGACGCCCTCGGAAGGGCGGACAGACAGATGTAGACAGACATGAGGACAGAGGGGAATGTACTCTGTCGATGCTGGCAGTCACATAGCAGCTTTAGTCTCATCGAAGCTTCAACGGGAAGAGGGGATCCGGCTGGAAAGGGGGAGAGCTTTGTTGGAGGTGGTGAGGTGAGGAGGGTAAGACCCTGGGTGGCCTTTACTTAAAATGAAGCCATCTTCTGTTTGCTTGTCTTGTTGTGGCTTTTGTTCAGTACCAGTTCTGAAGGTTAACTTTTGAATGGTCAGACACAGCGACCATGAGAGGAACAAAGGAAACTAACAGCATCTGTTCTCCTCCATCTTTATCTTCCTCTAGTTTTGCGGTTTAGTCTATGTGTTGCTCATGGTTGAAGTCATGTTCTGCCGTGTTATTTTCAGGATGGGCTCATTGTATTTCATACTGGGCTAACGGACTGCTGCAGTGAGGGTGGACCGGTGGGGAAGGGGAGGCTATTGCCATGGACACACCCACCTCCCTCAGTACATTCCCCCTAGTGGGCCTGGCGAGGGCTGGGTCGGGGTCAGTAACGGTGGGTCTGGTGTGAGTACTGTGGGGGCTGCTGGGAGGTAGAGGAGTATCCGATGCTGCTTTGGGGCAGTGATGTGCTTGGTCCGGGGTTCTGGTAGGCAGCATGCGGATTGGAGCGCTGAGCGAGAGATACAGAGATGAGGTAACTAATCAGACTCTTTATTTACAGCAAAATCATGCTATCAATATGGTATTGCTATGCTATATAGTAACTGCTTTGTATGTATGTATGTAGGTATGTATGTGTGCAATTGTGCATGTGTGTGTGTGAGACTACCCTACCTGGTAGTCTGAGGTCATAATGAGGCCACTTGAGGTAGTGACGGGCGGAACCACTCGCACCTTCTTTAGGGGCGGGCCCTGGGCGTGGCTGTTGTCAGGGTTACCGGTGTGCCCCGCCCCATTGGTGTGGTTGTTCCCCTGCTGCTGGTTCTTCTGGAATATTAAACAACAACACCCAAGCCTTCATCAAATACACTCAAAATGTTCCCTTTAAACCTTTACTCTATAGTTGACTAAACACACACAAACAAACGCACGCAAAAACACACTTAAATGTAATCCTATATATTTTGACCCAAATGTAAAGATATGAGGCACACACATTTCTGACTTTCTCTGCCTTGTCCTCTGGCTCCTCCTCTGTCAGGAACTCCCTCTTGGGGTATGGTATCTGGCAGCCTGCAAACACACTGACACAAGCACACCACTTATCTTACAGGCTATACCCCCACATCACTCTAGACATGTAGTAATAATGTGATATATGTAGTCATGTGCTTTGTTGTAATACATGCAGTAATAATGCATTAGTTGTTTTAATATAGTAATACATGTATTATGTTGTAATGTAGTAATACATGTGTTAGTCGTTTTAATATATACTGAACAAAAATATACATGACTGGGCAGGGGCGTTGCCAGAAATAGTTGTTCCACACAAAAGGGCTTTATTGCTGACAGAAATACTCCTCAGTTTCATCAACTGTCAGGGCGGCTGGTCTCAAGACGACCCCGCAGGTGAAGAAGCCGGATGTGGAGGTCCTGGGCTGGCGTGGTTACACATGGTCTGCGGTTATGAGGCCGGTTGGACTTTAGAGGCGGCTTATGGTAGAGAAATGAACATTCAATTCTCTGGCAACAGCTCTGGTGGACATTCCTGCAGTCAGAACGCCAACTGCACGCTCCCTCAAAACTTGAGACATCTGTGGCATTGTGCTGTGTGACAAAACTGCACATTTTAGAGTGGCCGTTTATTGTCCCCAGCACAAGGTGCACCTGTGTAATGATCATGCTGTTTAATCCGCTTCCTGATATGCCACACCTGTCAGGTGGATGGATTATCTTGGCAAAGGCGAAATGCTCACTAACAAAGATTTAAACACATTTGTGCACGAAATTTGAGAGAATTAAGCTTTTTGTGCATATGAAAATGTTCTGGGATCAGCTCATGAAACATGGGACCAACACTTTACATGTTGCGTTTATATTTTTTTCCAGCATAGTTATACATGTGTTATAAATGTTGTACTACATGTAGTAAGTGTTATAATGTTGTAATACATGTAGTAATAAATGTGTTCTAAAGTTGTATTAGGGTCCTGACTCACTCTGAGGTAGGCAGTGGTTCCTCCAGGAAGTAAGGGTCCTGCATGGCCTGCTCAGATGTGATCCTGCGGATCGGGTCCATGGTCAGCAGCTTCTGGAGCTACACACAACGTTCACACAACGTTAGACACACCACGAGTAAAACACTGAACTTTCATACAACGTCAGACTGAACAATGCTATGTAACAACAACAACGTTCAGGCAACATTAGACTGAGAAAACTAATTTCAACTCACCAAATGGAATGCTTTGCTGTCTGGTTTGACTTTGTGCTTCTCCATGTATTTTATAAGGCTGCAGTTTGTATACCTGTGATACAACATGTTATTTCAGTTTGTATACCTGTGATACAACATGTTATTTCAGTTTGTATACCTGTGATACAACATGTTATTTCTAGTGGATGGGAAGACGAATCCAATATTAAAATCCTAAAAATGATCTTGTTCAGAGCTGGCAGGAAGCATGCAGGCAGACAAAAAGCCACTCACGTGTTCCTTCTGAAGTCTTTCATCAGAGTGGAGTGCTCTGGCATCTTCTTTATGTCTTCCCAGTCCTTCTCTGAGGATTACATCATCAGACTGTCAGTTAGTGCTTGTACAGGACAGATAGATTGCTTTGGGCTCATACAAGCCAGGCCAGAATAGAACTGTGCCTAGTCATGGTTTAAGTACACTCGTCATTCAGTATTATATCACTATTTGCCAGGCAGGTTCAATTACACATGTCCGAAATCTGTCTTGCCTCCTACTTACTAAAAGTACATATTGTGTACTAATAAGTCTACATACTATTTAGAACATACTGTTTAGTAAAAACGTATGCAGCAAGTAACAAATATCAACATACTAGGTTGATCCATGCTGAGAAGTCGTCATCTAATGCGCAATCGTGCTTGTTCCCAGCCATTCGTTCATTTTGGTAGAGCGCATCCCCTATTCTGATTATCAGAGTGTGAAAAAGATGCGAGTATGAAAAGACGATGCTCTTCCTCAATAGTGTGCAGCGAATTCTACTTGATGAAAAGCCTAAATTAATATGAAATCCTGCCATTTAAAGCATTACTATACTATAAAACGTTATATTTTTGCATACCCAAAAAGCCAACTATTTAGAACGCACGTATGGGTATTCGGTTGGAACAAGGTGAATAATTTAACACATACGAGCAACCATTTCAATGCACATAGGCGTGTCCTGATAAGTTATGAGAGTACCCAGCACTCACGGGCAACCCTCTATATCCAGAGCCAGTTTTGAAGTATTCTTGGCCTCTACATGGTGGTTTCGTGGCCTATGTGTGGTGGTTCTATAGGAGGCCAGTCCCAGCCACAGCCCCAGCCCCAGCCCCAGCCCAGCTCTCTCACCAGCGGGGAAGCCCATGACGTTGAAGATGCGGTCCAGCTGGTCGTGGTGGTAGGGGTTACTGGTCTTGATGTCCTCTTGGCGACAGTGGAAGATGGGCTCAGACGTCAACAGCTCGGCAAAGATGCAGCCAATCGCCCAGATGTCTGACAGATGCACAGGGAGGATTAGAGATATCAGGGCTCAACAGTGCTACCATTTTGGTCGCATATGCTCCTAAATATTTGGGCCACCAGTGCCACTAATTTTTATATTTAGTAATTGCTGGCAAATTATCAATACCTCTAATATTTGTCATTGTGCACCTACATTTCTTAATGTGCTCCTACATTTATCAACTTAGGAGCATGTGCTCCTTGTAAAAAATGTCAGCATAGAGCCCTGGATATCACACTGTGTTCTAAACCACGCCCATGCACAGCCACCCACTTGAACATGCTCGCACAAACATGCACACACACACACAACAGTATTTATCCTAGGATGGTGGAAGGATAGCTCAGAACTTCAGCTCTTGGTACACAGTACACACACACACCCCGTGGCTGTTCTCACCGATGGCTTTGGTGTAGTGCCTGGCCCCCAGCAGCAGCTCTGGTGCCCTGTACCAGAAGGTGACCACCACAGGGTCCAGATCTGCTAAAGGCTTCAGTGGTGAGTTAAAGAGGCGGGCAAAGCCCATGTCCGCTGTAGAGCAAGACACAATAAATAAATAAGCAACATAATAATATGATAATGTAGTATAATGTTCAAATAATGTGTAATGACCAGTGAATTAACTATAGCCATTCTATGTACTGACTAAACCTTATGCTGAGAAAAAACACTCTGTCGTACCGATCTTTACTCGACCCCTCTCTGGCCCCTCCCCCATCACTAGGATGTTGGCAGGTTTCTGGGGGAAAAACATATTAACAGTTAATATCACCCAAATATTTTCGTCCATTATCCTAATACCCACACTGATACATATTAACCGAGAGGAATTAAGATTAGTTTGGCCCCTTAATGCTGAATCACATTTGAATGGTCCAGGTAGTGTCAATGCTGCCCTCTGGTGGCATAACAATGAACATTACTTCCAGGAGAGAAGCAGGCCAGGCACCTCCATTTCCTCCACCAGGGTACCCAACCACACAGTGCTAAGCCACTGTACCATTTCCTGCATCCCTCTTTTCCTCTCCCCGTCCTCCCCACTGCTCTCTCCTCCCCTCTTCTTCCTCTCCCCCCCCCCCCCCCCCCCCCCCTCTCTCTCACCAGGTCTATGTGTAGGACCCAGTTGGCGTGCAGGTAATGGATGCCCACTCTCCCCCCATTGCCCCCTCTTCTTTCTCTCTCCCCCCCTCCTCTCCTTCTCATACAAAGGCCTTTTCTCATTTGGGCAAAAGTCTGTCCTCCGTCCGCTCTCCTCCGTGACCCGGAAACCGATAAATGGTCGAGGAGTGTCAATTTGTTAGTAGGCAAACGGAAGAGTGTCCTCCCCTCCTCGATAGCCTCCTTTCATCGAGGATGGTCATGTGTATCCTACCTGAGTCCTTCACAGAATACTTTTGATATCTGCCACACCCCCTTGTTGCTTACTCTGAGGAGAAAAGCATGCAAACATTTTAAAATGATATGCTACTTATCCTTTTATCTAGAAAATGTCTTGCAGAACTAGCTACATTTGTTTTATCACGTTACATATATTTTGGGATTCCACCCCTGTAAACGTAATTTGCCTGATGACGCACGAATAGAGAGGAGAATCTAATTTCATATAAGCACATTTTCGTTCACGTTCCCTCCCCTCAGCGCCTCTCCTCGATTACCTTTTACCTTTTCAAAAGGAGGCGAGAGAAGGCGGAGGAGTTGAGCAAATCCAATTGAGAAAAGGGCCAGGTCTCTGTGTAGGACCAAGTTGGCGTGCAGGAAATGGATGCACTCTCTCCTTCCCTCCCTACCCTCTCCCCCCCTCCCTCACCAGGTCTCTGTGTAGGACCCAGTTAGCGTGTAGGTAATGGATGCCGTCCAGGATCTGGTAGAGCAGGGACTTGACCATACCCCTGGGCAGCTGCAGGGGCTTCTTGTTAGCCTTGGACGCCCTGTGGAACTTTATGATGTGCTGTGGAGAGAGGGGGCATCATTAGTGTGTGCTGTCTGCATCCCTGGATTTAAAGAAGTGTGGAGGTAAAATATTTGAATGTTTATAAAAGTGTGTAAATGTAAAAAGAAATGTGTACTTGTATGTGTGTGTGTTTAGAGGGTGGATGGATGCATCAGATATAAATCTGTGAGTGTTCATGAAAATGATTGGGTCTGCGTGGTGTGTGTGTAGGGTAGGTTACTTTCTAAATGTAATCCATTCCAGTTACTAGTTACCTGTCCAAAATTGTAATCAGTAACTTAACTTTTGGATTACCCGAACTCAGCAACGTAATCTGATTACTTTCAGTTACTTTTAGAAGAAGACAAAAATGAATATTACCAATTGAATGACATCTATTGCAGGATAAATCAATGTTACAGTTTACATAGCTGGCCATAAATGGATGTTGCATTTTACTTTATGGGTTTGTTATGTAGGCTTCTTCTAACCCATTGCTTTCTACTACAGATAATATGATTAGGATTCATCTTTACATTAAAAAACTAAGTCTGTCAGATTTCCAGTCATTCCAAATAATGTAATAACCCTCAATCTTCAAGAATAGGATTTAGAATTATGGAAGTATAGATTAGCCAAATTGTTTTACCTGAGCATAACCCAAAAACGAATGACTTATTAGCCTACTCTGTTGTTTATGATTTTGTTGTCATGGAGGACTGATTGGGCTCATTGCTTCCAGTTGTAAAAAAAATGCTGCTCTCATGGAATGGCATGCTTTGAACACTACTGATGTATGCCATATGCTGCATCTGCTATAGGCCTATTGTTTACGCTTTTTGTTGGTGACACTTTGATATTTCGATAATTTGCAGCGATTTAAGTCTATCAAAAATGCGCGAGTTTGAGCATGTGTCCGTTACGCCTATGGATTATTTTTTTTTTTATCAACACAAATTAGATTGAGCAATAAAAGCCCCACTTGTATTCTTCTTAAATTAAACTAGTTTGTGACAGTATGGAGCACAAGACCAAGGAGGAGTTTAGAGTGGAGGAACTCCATCAAACTTATATTCCATAGGTTGGATCCGCACTATGCAACTGTTGCAAGAGCACATTTTCACTGGCTGTTCACTGGTCGCAAAAACAGATTGATAGACATCTTAAACTACTCCAGTTCAACCATTCTTGGGTTAAAATACACATATACATTTGTGAATAGCCATCCACAATCTATAAGGGCAAATAGCTAAATGAGAGAGCAGCTGTATGATTCACATCAATGCGCTATGTAGATATCAACCCTAGTGATATCTGTATCACCCGTAGGCTACACCGCTGTTGTCCTTACCTCCAAACGTATATTCAAGTTGAATAATCTTTGGATGTCGACAGCAGTCGCAGCTTGGACTGTAGCCTACAAAAGCCTATTCCTGCTATTTTAACACAATCCATCAAGTGCATTTGGTGTATCATCATAGTGGTCAGACTCGCTCAGGCAGAACAACCTTAAATTTGCGCCTTTTTTTAATGCTGATTTAAATGTCATTGATAAAACAGAAACATAATGTTTTTTTTGGCAAACATTTTAAAAGTTATCCTAGAAGTAATCATCTAGTTTTTCAAAAGTATCTGTAATCTGATTACTATAGTTTTGCTGGTAACGTAACTGATTACACTTTGTTTCTTTTTAATCCGTTACTCCCCAACCCTGTGTGTGTGTCTTACCCAGAGGTCATGCTCGGCGTAGTCAAAGAGCAGCCAGACTTTGCGGTCTGCGTGTGACAGGAACACCTTCTGCAGTGAGATCACATTAGGATGCTTCAGCTCCCGCAGTAGCTAGAAGAAGAAACATTCATTCACACACACATTATGGGATGTCTGCTCTTGAACTAAACAACACACTTACTGCAATCTCTCTGCAGGCGGACATGGAGATGCCAGTGCCTTCAATCTGCTTGAGGGCGTAGTCCTTATCATCCTTCCTGAAGACAAAGAAAAAGATACAGCATCAACCCAAGTTCACTACAGTTACCATGGGGCCTTGCTACACTGAGACATGAAGGAGGCCAGCTGGCAGCTGGTGGTACAGGAGTGGCTGTGAGAGGAGGGCAAGATGCTTAAATTACCTCCAGATTGATGTAATATAATCAAGCTCACCCCCATACCCAATACAGTAGAGGGGAAACAGACTACGGCAGCTGGCGAGGGACACACAAACGCTGGGTTAGTCCCTCACTAGTACAAACTCCCCCCCTCCACCCGGCCCAAATAATCTCATAAACCGCTCTTTGTGCCTCCTCGGGCCATGTTCAACTCAAGGAGAACAAATTAGGATATGAGAGGCTCGTAAACAGCAGCCTCCTACAATAAACACAAACATCTTTGAACACTTAGGGCTGGTTAAAACACGGTTACAGCCGCCAGTGAGTCTGGCCATGTTTTGGACCCGCTGCTTGGTGGGTCTGATTTGTGTCCTGAGGGTTGAGGTTCAATAACAAAGTCCAGTCACAGTCAAGGATCTGGGCTGGACTAGATTAAACCAGACATGGATGATCTGGACTCCACCTCATGAGGTTGGACTGGATTGGATGGGGTTGGACTAGCATGGGGTCAGGAACGGACTAGACCACCAGAATAGGATGGGATCAGGAATGGACTAGACCACCAGACTAGGATGGGACCAGGTTGAATGGACTAGACCACAAGACTAGGATGGGGCCAGGAGGAATGGAGTAGACCACCAGACTAGGATGGGGCCAGGATGAATGGACTAGACCACCAGACTATGATGGGGCCAGGAATGTAGTAGACCACCAAACTAGGATGGGGCCAGGAGGAATGGATTGGACTAGACCAGACTAGGATGGGGCCAGGAGGAATGGATTGGACTAGACCAGACTAGGATGGGGCCAGGAGGAATGGATTGGACTAGACCAGACTAGGATGGGGCCAGGAGGAATGGATTGGACTAGACCAGACTAGGATGGGGCCAGGAGGAATGGATTGGACTAGACCAGACTAGGATGGGGCCAGGAGGAATGGATTGGACTAGACCAGACTAGGATGGGGCCAGGAGGAATGGATTGGACTAGACCAGACTAGGATGGGGCCAGGAGGAATGGATTGGACTAGACCAGACTAGGATGGGGCCAGGAGGAATGGATTGGACTAGACCAGACTAGGATGGGGCCAGGAGGAATGGATTGGACTAGACCAGACTAGGATGGGGCCAGGAGGAATGGATTGGACTAGACCAGACTAGGGTGGGGCCAGGAGGAATGGATTGGACTAGACCAGACTAGGATGGGGCCAGGAGGAATGGATTGAACTAGACCAGACTAGGATGGGGCCAGGAGGAATGGATTGGACTAGACCAGACTAGGATGGGGCTGGACTGGGACAGATGGGGAAGGACAGGGTGTCTGCAGTCTGAAATGGGCTCTTTTCCTTCATGACCACTGTATAAAATACCATTATGGTACAGTGTAAACCTAACCAGTACTTTTACTGGTAATCATTTATTAAGGAAGGGAGCAAGAAGAGGTTAATACACTTATAAAACAATGGGAGAACTGGAATAAACAACATTGCCTGGCTGAAATGGCTATGATATGGTCTAAATGCTTGGATACATCTGCAGTGGATTTTGTCTCAGCCCCTGACACTATAACATGTTTGGGCTAAAATGTTCATTGTAATAAAATCTTATTTTTATAAAACTAGGCCTATGCAATAAAGTTAAAAACACAAGGTAATTAAACCATAATAGCAAAACAAACTAATTTGGGGATTGCTCAAAACCGGTATATTCCAGTATCTTGAATAATTTATTGGACATGACTACTTAGCCTATGAAATGCATGACACTGGTTATTGGCATGGTCTACATACATTAGTCTAATAGCCTATGTATAGAATAACATTATTTGAAAGTTTTACAGCGCTTTTACTCCATTTTGAAATAGTGGCCTGAGAATTGGTGTGATTGCATAAGCTCCATGGTTAAAAGGCTGTAGCCTAGTTGTTTTACAGTAGGGAAAATAACACCCACTGTCTCACTTCTTATTGGCAGAGAGAGACCTTCATAATCATAACATTCTGTAGCCTCAAATAATTAGACCATAGTAAATCACCTCTATAAAAACAGAAATAACCCTTTTACTTGGTCATGAGATAACAGCATCATGTTCTATTCCACACTGCACGCGAGGGAGAAAAGACATGAGTGAAGAGGTCAATAGAAGGATCACTTTTATTATTGTGTCCATCTCATCTATATGAAGGGGGCCTCTTCATTCATCCATGCAGAATACCTGTGTACATTTCATGTCCCTCCAATTGAGATTTTAAACACTTTCCTTCTATTAGTAGAGGAGGTGAGTTTCCTCAATACAATGTAAAGTGCTTTAAGCACCCAGTGGAAAAACTGCTTTATATAAATCCATTATTATCATGTTGTGTGTAGCCAGACCGTTCCAGATCCAGACACCTCCAACCCGCCAGACCAAACATCCCCTGCGCGCGACTGCACCTGCCTCTGGCTTGCTTGGCTGCGTCTGTAATATGCTATCACACAGAGGCTGGCCTACTTCACGCAGTTTGTTCATATTACTGCGAAAATAGAATATCTCGAAATGCAAAAAATTACACGGCATAATTTGATACCAAAATATCCTCATTATTCTGTTTAGAGCAAAACTTGCTTAATGGCTGCAATACCCAACGTAAGATGTTGTTACAACATCCCCCGTTATGTTCCGTTTCATCCGCGAGCACAGGCGCCCTTTTAAAACTATGATTTGAAATACATCCTACAATGGCAAGCTTAGCTGATGGCTTTAGCGAACACATTGCACGACTGTTAGTGCTGGGCCACTGATGTCAGTGCTCAAATCAGCTTTGTCATGGAGTTCAAGACCCTGTTCTCCAGGTGCTATGACGTATTGAGTTTATTCAGTTGGTTCTTAAAAAATTTCACCGCACTACGAGTTACAAATAGGTGTTTGTCTGAGGGGGGGCCTTAAACAGGAGCAACCAAGACAAACCGAGTTGTTTTATTGGGAGACTCGCGGACCTGAGGGCCTTCATACTGGCTCTGATTATCAACTCACCCATCTTTTCTCTTTGCTTTGTATACATGACCGTAGGTGCCTCTTCCCACTTTGCATCCCTCGTATTCAAACAGATCCTCGACACGTTCTCGCTCACCGGTCAGCATCACTTTGAAATCGTAGTCCATTCTCTCTGTTGTTTAGGTCAATTATCTTCTGCTTCCTTTTAAAGCGCCGCTTGGGAGGCAACTTACTTCACACCCCCAGTTAGAATTTGTTGTTGCCTTCCCTCGCGTCGCTCTCTCCTTAGCCCTGTTTCCACATTTAACGGCTAGGTTTATATGTACCAGAGAAGATGCAGGTTTCTTATCGGCGACGAAGGGCCAGGTATGGGCACTATTACTAGCTACCCCTTTCTCTCGTATTATCTTGCTACTGCGTTTCTCCAGCCGGTATCACACTCGAGATAACAGAAAAACCACGCACGGCACTGTCGTAAAATGTCGTTATTGCAGAATGCACAGAAATGGACGGGAGCTATGTGTATAGCACACCACGTGTATTTTAACTCTTTGTAATGTGAAGGGGCTACAAATTGTACAATTCACACAAACATCTCGTTTTATGATCAACATTTTGGTGCTGGCATTTCTGAAGCCAGTTCAAATGTTTCCCCTCCACATTTCATGACAATTACTCCACTCCTTAATCATAATCTGATGTTGGATGTCCGAAATTAGATAATTCTGGCGTCTAATAAAGGCACAAAGATGAGTCAAGATATGCGCACAGACATTGAAAAACGGGAAGAAACATTAAATTGCTATTCCATTTTCCAATAATTATTTGGGGGGTATATCTATTTACCTTTAGACTGCTGGGAGAAAATGATCAACTGCGTGGTTTTATGTAAAATACATTTGTGAAAAATAACCTGTTGCAAATTGAAAACAGTCCTCTTCACAGTTAAACAAACATGAATACATTGAGTGAAACACAATAATTAGCTGTTATAATCGGCACCTTTTATTGTCGTGCGGTTTCGTTGGGTAGGAACTTATCTGACGCTGCTGGTGTTTGATCGGACGGTGAGAAGTGTAGCACAGTTGGTCCCATCTTGGCTACATTGTAATCAGAGCGGAGAGGGAAGCAAACGCGTCGATATTACAGCTGCTGTGTCAGGTACAAAACTACCTCTACATTTCGTTGTCATCTCCATTTACTCGAGCTAAAAAACTATGTTTAGGTTGAGTATTGTATGCACTCTGTTCGTGTGTTGCTTGTCAAAATAAATGTCTTATTTATTGGCGAAACCTTTCACCAGCAGATAGCTAGCTGTCGACACAACTAACAAATGCGTTGCGCATTCAAAATGACAGCTCGCCGCTTTGAAAGGCAATGTGAAACCGGCGTATAGTTGTGAAGGAGATTTTTATTAGTTGTAGACGTTTATATAATTATGTTGCAGTCGTTAGGTGACGATTCTTTGTCCTCTTCTCTACAAAAGTCAACTTGCATGGAGCCCGACTATTCTTTGTCATGTCCCTCCTCCGACGTGGCTATGATCATTCCTGGGTCGGTGATTGGTAGCTAGTAGGATGACACCGGCGTCAGTTTTGTTGGTCCTTTCTCCTGCGTTCTTCAACATGGCCTGCTGTATGGTATGTTTTGTAGAGTCTGCAATATTGCTCTAAATGGCATGATTGTTGCTGCCTTTACGGCAAACTCAATATTCATTTATGTCTATCGCTGTGACATTGATGCTGTTGTATGGAGGTTTTCTGATGAATCTAAGAAGGTTAGCCTGCTAGCTGTCGGAACTCAGAAGGTTCGATTTTTGTAGGCGATTTACTATGTAGTTGATTCACGACTAGTGTGGGCAGACTGGAGCTCCGACGTCACAATATTACTGGCAATGTCTCATCCCACAGCAAAATGGATGGCATTGTTTTGAAATGATTCATGGCTAAAGGTGGGGCCACAAACGGGTTTAATAAGTCGTCTCGTTCTAATCCATGTTTGTCACCGTTGTATAGAATCAAAATATCCATGATCTCAACTCAGCTGCTGCCTATGATTGAATGATGGATGTATTACTATAGCAGTGCCCAGGTAAGATCCAGCCAGGTGTTCCATGTTCTGACACCCCAGCTAACCCCCTCTGTGCACCAGCGGTTTCCATGGTGATGGACCCTGCTGGCGGGCGAGACGAGCTGCGGCGTCAGGCAGAGCGTCTTCGACGGGAGGAGGCGTACTATCACTTCATCAACGAGCTGAGCGAGGAAGAGTACCGCCTCATGAGAGACAGCAACCTGCTGGGCACACCTGGTGAGAGGAACCTAGAACACCTGACCTCACTAGAACCCCTAACGCAGGGTTGCATAGCGCCAATCCCCCAGGGCAGCGATGTGTGCTGGTTTTCCTCATTGTTTTTAAATCACAGGCTAATTCGTACTAGGACAACCACGTGCCTGGTCCCCCTAGCCCAGGGATGGGCAACTCCAGTCCTTGGGGGTCCTGATTGGTCTCACTTTGTCATGCACCCCTTCCCCAACCCAACCCAATAGACTGAGCCCCGCTAATGCACCCTAATAAAGGCCTACCCTCACACACACACGCACATTAATGTGTAACAATATCACATTTTATATATGGCTTCATGTTGGCCACTAAGGGCTGAAATGAACCTGAACCCTCGACAATCAAGCATATAACCCTCCATCATACACCCTCCATATTGACCTAACAAAGGACATGTTGTTCCCCAGGTGAAGTGACAGCGGAGGAGCTGCGGCAGCGCCTGGACGGGGCAAAGGAGCGCGTGTCATCTCAGCCCCGCCCTGAACCACACCCACAGAACACTGAGGCCGGAGAGGAGGAGGGGAGCAGCGGTGAGGGGGAGGAGAGCGAGGGAGGGGCAGGTAGGGATAAAGAGCTATAGCGGTGGTAGTGGTTTTATGGGCTTATAGGGGTTACGGTGGGAAATTAATGCTAAAGCTATGTATAACCTAAACTTCACAGATTGTTATGGGTCTCAAAAGGTTCCTGGCCTAATTGCTGCTGTATACTCACTCAGTTCAGTTTATTTATTATTGATCAAAGTACTGAAGTATTACTAGATAATTACAACTGACTCAGTTCAGTAACGAGCCGCTGTCTCTATAGCTACTGCTGAGCCGGGAGCAGAGGACGTCTAACGGCGACTCACTGCTGGAGTGGCTGAACACCTTCCGACGCACCGGGAACGCCACGCGCAGCGGCCAGAGCGGCAACCAGACGTGGCGCGCGGTCAGCCGCACCAACCCCAACAGCGGAGAGTTCCGCTTCAGCTTGGAGATCAACATCAACCATGAGCAGCCAGAGCCAGGGGAGCACAGTGATGCCCCCGACCCCTCAGAGCTGTCCCCTGTCCCCCCTCCATCCACAGCCTCCTCAGCCTCCATACGCACTGCCCCCTACACCCCCTCCACTCGCCCCTCACCCTACACCCCTGCCCGGCCCTCCCCCTATCCCTCACCTCGAGCTACCCTGGGCAGGAGGGCTCAGATCCGCCGTACACGCAGTAGTACCACCATACCTCCTCTGACTCCCGCACCCCTCACCACACCCCTGTTCCCCCCTACTGCTCTAAGGGGTACAGCAGCCCTCCACCTTCCACCACCCCTAGTCCCCATCACCCCCCCTACCCTTCAGGATCAAATAAGCCCTCCACAGCTCCAACCCCCAAGCGGGTCTTCCTCCCCAGGGGAGGGGCAGGAGGAGGACTGCCCCCGTGTACCGCCCCAGTCTGGCCCCCAGGTGGCGTCTGTGGGGCGTGAGCCGCGCAGCAGCAGGACTCGATCCCGCGGCCGGATCCGCAGGCCTGCAGCAGGAGGTGGGACTTCCTCCCGGTCGTCTAGGAGACGTAGCCGCTCCCCTCTTCAGAGAAACCCCACCCCTAACTCGGCTACCTTGTCCCCTAGTGGTGGGAGTGAAAATGGTGTCTCTAATAATGGCCACTCTGCCGAGCCCGGCCATGGAACTGCTTCTGTCTCCATGGAGACCGGTGAGGCCGTGTCAGAGCCGGCTGTACTAACAGAGCCTGGCCCAGAGGCAGGTGAGCAGGAGGGAGAGGCGCATATGGCCGGGTCGGGGGGTGCAGGAGGGGTGCGGCGCCACCCCACCATCATGCTGGATCTGCAGGTGCGGCGCATCCGACCGGGAGAGAACCGGGACCGGGACAGCATCGCCAGCCGTACCCGTTCCCGCGCCCGCGCCGCCGAGAACACTGTCACCTTTGAGAGCGACAGTGGGGGCTTCCGGCGCACCATCTCCCGCTCGGAGCGGGCCGGGATCCGGACCTACGTCAGCACCATCCGGATCCCTCTGAGGAGGATCAGTGAGACGGGCCTGGGGGAACCCAGCTCCACTGCCCTGCGCTCCATCCTCAGACAAATCATGACTGGCTTCGGAGAGCTCAGCTCCCTCATGGAGACAGAGGCTGACTCTGAGACCACCGAGGGCACGCCCGGTCACCAGGACCCTGCAGGACCCAATGCTAACACCAACACCACACAGACCTACCGTAGCCACGGTAACGAGAGTGGAACTGTGGCGGGAGGCCAGGCAGGAGGGGCAGAGACGGAGAGAGAGGGGGCGGCAGGGGCCGAGGAGGTAGAAGGAGGGCAGGGGAGGTTAGGCGGGAGTGGCGACGGTGTAGTCCCAACCCCCGACGATGGTCGGCCGATGAGCAGGGACACAAACAACCTGGTAGAGAACGGCACGCTGCCCATCCTGCGGCTGGCCCACTTCTTCCTGCTCAACGACGAGGAGGACGAGGAACACTCTCGCGGCCTGACCAAAGAGCAGATCGACATACTGGCCACGCGCACCTACGGCCAGGCCAGCCTGGAGGGGGAGGCGGGGCGCGCCTGCAGCGTCTGTATCAACGAGTACGCCCAAGGGAACAAGCTGCGCCGCCTGCCCTGCGCCCACGAGTTCCACATTCACTGCATCGACCGCTGGCTCTCTGAAAACAACACCTGCCCCATCTGCAGGCAGCCCATCCTCCCCGTGCACCAGGACTGACCCTGCCCTGACCCCTTGAACCCCCTGACCCCAGACCACCACCGGCTCCACCTCGCCCCCTGCTGGCTGAACTGAGCATGCCCGAGCGGAGCGGACAGTACATGTACATAGCGCTTTAATGTTTTCATTTACCATTGAAATATTCATTGTGTTCAAGCTGAGAAATTGTAGAACCCAAAGGGGGGGGGGACTAATGCAGAGAATTAACAAAGCGTTATTTTTGTAGACTTATTTTCAGCACCTTGTTTTATTTTTTTAATTTGTTTTTTCTTGTCTTGTTTCTCTTCGGCTTCTGTTACGATGCTTCTGAGGTCCACATTTACAGATAGCACTTACGCTTAAAGAGCTACTATAGCTGCTGCTGATCAACTCTGCTGATCAACTCTTTCACCTGATACGCTGTGTCACCATGGCACAAACGGACTACAGCAATCAGTCAGTCGCTTCTGTAGATTTGATTTGGTTGACAATGTGTAAATATGTCACCGCCGTCTGTGTTTTGGGGTTGAGAACAGAAAGTCATCCTCCTTGCATTTTAAGCAGAAAACATTTATTAAGTAAGAGCTAATATTGGAATTCTCCATTTTAAAGCTCCAACATCCCCTTTAAAGTGTACTCTATCATTTGTATTTGTTTAGACAAAGGCTATTGTGGATTCTATTTGACTTTTTAATTAAATTTGACTTGGCCAGTGGTCCCTAGGATGTTGTTGTCTGCCTACCAGTTCCAGCTCTTTAAACCTAGCCATCTAACCCCATAGATCCACAGTGGATGTCCAATAGTTCATCCTCAAATGAATTGCAGCCTTTGACACTAAAATATTAGTAACACAAGTCAGAAAGAAACATCTAAAGCAAATAATAATTGGGAAAGTGTATGAGGTAATTTAGCAGCAAGCACTTGTAGTAGGACTCGTCTGTTATGGAGACAGGCCAATAATGCAATAACATGAAGGAGGAACGGAAGGAAACTTTATAGTGCTGTCCTCACTTGTTTACTCCTGGGCATTGATGAATAATTAGTCTGTTGGGAAATGGAGAGTATCTGCTCCGAAGTATGCTCTCCCCCTATCCCCAGTCTCCTAGAGAACTCCTCAATGAAAAATGTGATCATCATCCCCCACTCCTCTAATGCACGTGTCAAACTTATTCCACGGAGAGCCGAGTGTCTGCGGGTTTTCGCTCCACCCTTGTATTTCATTGATTAATTAAGGTCATTAATTGGTAAGGAACTCCCCTCAACTGGTTGTCTAGGTCTGTCTAATTGAAAGGAAAAACCAAAAACCTGCAGACACTCGGCCCTCTGTGGAATGAGTTTGACACCCCTGCTCTAATGTCTGTGTTTAAAGCCCCTGCTCTGGTAGAACCTGGCTGTCATGGCCTGATTTTTTATTTTAATTTTTTTATTTAGTCATTTAGCAGACGCTCTTATCCAGAGCGACTTACAGTTTAGTGAGTGCATACATTATTTATTTTTATTTTTCATACTGGCCCCCCGTGGGAATCGAACCCACAACCCTGGCGTTGCAAACGCCATGCTCTACCAACTGAGCTACATCCCTGCCGGCCATTCCCTCCCCTACCCTGGATGACGCTGGGCCAATTGTGCGCCGCTCCATGGGTCTCCCGGTCGCCGCGGCCGGCTACGACAGAGCCTGGATTTCTATCACTTAAGTAATAGTTCCATGTTCACAAACCTGAAAGGAATGACTAGGTGAAAGCAAAATGGTAGCATCTATCCAATCCTTTCAGATCAGTGAACACTAAAGCGTTCTTCCTCCATTAGCCTGGCCTAGATCTCAATTGGCTTTCCCTGCATGCAGTATCACTCTGTTACCACCAGGGGCAGTGTTCACAACTACAGTACCACATGGTGAGAACTGGAGACCAGTGGTATTGGTGTCATGTAGGGCAGGGGTTTTCTGTCATTTTCATCCTGACTTTGTTCCAAGCAGACTCATGAGACAGGGATGTGATACAGGAAACGATGCTCTTTCTATACTGAAGTGTGTGTGCGTGTGTCCGGTAGTGCTGAAGGAAGTGATAAAACAATGTTAATATGGTTCTGGAGAAGCATCAGTCAGTCGCCTGAATGTCCATCTATCTAAGACAGAGTGGGAGGGTCCGTGGCCACCGAAATTCAGAAATTAATATTTATTCTGTTCCTATTTAATGAGATAAACAAACTTTGAGATATTGATATGTGTTATGTGATGAGATTTAAAAAATAGTTAAGATGAATATGTATTCTGTTACTATGTAATATAAATAAACACAAGGGGTTTCTTCTGCTCCTTAACAAGGGAATTAAATACAGCTTTGTTATGTCTGGAGTTATTTTGTGCGCTGTTTATTTGCTTCCCACTGGGGACTTTGTGTTCCTCCCACAGGATCCACACCTCCAATTATGTTCTCTCCCTGTGGTGTGAACAACTGTACCTCCTATCATATCATGACAAGTCTTTGTTTTTACTTGAATTTGATTTACACGCCTCTCTCTCCCTAGGCTAGAAGTCACTCAGGCCTAGGCCTATGGAATTAGATGAATGTAACACTAATTAGGACAGTGAGGTTATGATCAAAGATGCAAATGTAAAATGGTCATAGCACAAAAGTGCTAATAGTCATATTCCCTAGTATTTAGCTATTTAGCCTACCTCTGCAGTGTTGGCCTTTCTGCGGCTATGGCCCGACTAGGCCTACGACTGTGTTAGGCTATTTTTACGCATGACGTGATATTAGACTACTAACCTAAGGCACACGCTCAGCTACATGAATGTCCAATTGAAGCAACGTGAGTGAGGATGAAGGAACGAGATTCACGCGAGTATCCTACTTATGCAACGGATCAGGCTTTTTGTGATCTTGGTTGAGGACGAGGGCGCGCGCACGCACTAACACGTCTCACCCCTATGCGCGCCCTCGTCGCTGCTGAGCCGACCCATCACCGTCCCAAGTCCATCGATCGAACATGATTCATCTCCCAACGACCATAGCCTTGTCCCAGGCCCGCATTCCTCCGCTTTGTACGTGAGCCACGGGCATGCCAGCGCCCCGGCCGCCCTCTTCCAGGCCAATACAGACCCGCACAAGATCAGGATGTACTTCAACCGGCGATCGAAGAAGATCCACAGCGAGGGAGGTAAGCACAACAAGAGGGGCGGAGGTATGTAGCCTACAGTACAGGCTAGTACAGCTCCATGGGTAGCTATAGGGATCGAACTGGCAGCGACATAAACATTGCAGCGAGGACGGATTGGTTCTATTGACAATATGCACAATCTGTCCTACTATGCGTCTTATATTAGTGGGGCTATGGGGTTGGAAAAGCCTTGTTGAGCCCAGGACTGCGGCACGGGGGGCGGTTGCAGCCTGGCGCTGCGTATTACGCCTGCCATAGACAGTCAGTGCAAACAACAGGGCTATTCTTCTATTGGCACAGACGGTTCGACTCGGGATGGGGGCGCTGCGCTTCAACTGAACCAATTTCCAATGCTTTGTATGATGTGCGTAATGATGCTGCAGATATAACAGTAAAGGCAGGTAATGGAGAGTAGGTTATTGCAGGTGAGCGGGACCGAGTTGTCATGGCCTCACTATAAACAGTGCTCGCATCCATCCTTTGCGCGTAATAGTCTATGTAGGTTAGCTTATACATAAATGGCTATGTATTTTTCCACGTATTAATTTATTTTCTCTGGGACAAGGGTAAATGGTACAGGGTGCATACTGTCAGGATAGGAATCTTTTTTTTCAGAGCACGTAGGTTAGTTCGGCGGCACTATGGGAGAGCTCAACACTGGCAATGACTTAAAGGCCACGTGACTCTTTAATTGCTCTTATTCTAAGCTCCTCGCGGGAAGGCCATCTCATCTGTTGAGGTCACGCGGGGCCCAGACAGGTGTACACCAAATCTGTGCTAGTTTACATAATAGAGACACTATATTTGTCTAGGCCTATATAGTGGTGCAGCATAATGTTTGGTCTTTTGGGGCTATTCAATGCGCTTTTGTCCCCGAAAAAAAGCAATGCGTCATAGATGCGCCTTTGCATTTACAGGGACAGCAGAACACATCGTTGCACTGCACCCTCCACACAGCACAGTGATTTTTCCACAGAGTCCTATGCGCACATAGAAAGTCCTAGCATGATTATTTGCGTTTTGGCTGCATCAGGGAGTGAGTGCTATGGGCCAGAATAGGTTTTTGGCTAAACTGCAGGGATTAGATGGGAGGAGGTCAGTGTTTTGGAAGATAGTTGGCTTGGTGTCGCAGCCTGGGCAGGTTTGGCAGTAATACCGCTGGAGATGAGAGAACAGTTTGTGTTTGCCGTTGCTCCTATAGTGGCTTTGGAGGGATTGTCCTGGAAGAGGGGACTCACGTGGCTGAATGTCCATGAGTGCTGGCACAAGTACATTGTGGGGCGGCTGTGTGTTTGTGTGTGACTGTGCTTTGCCTCCAGTAGGTTCCAGAAATAGAAAGCAGCTAGGGCATATTGTCAGGATAGAGAGAGAAGTGCCAACTGGGTCAGGTCAATCTGTCTCCAGGCTAGGGATCCCCATCAGAGTGAGAGAGAGAGAACAGCATCAATATGGTTCCCATACTACCTTAACCCCAAATCATCAGTTAGTCCAGACTCCAGGGAAAGCTGATATTGACAGAAAAACTCTTACTCTAGGTTAATTAGGACAGTCAGGAGTCAAGACAGGATGACATATCAAAGAACAACCCTTATAGACCCCCCCCCCCCCCACACACACACACTCTCACCCACACCCACACACACACCCTTAGTCCCTTATTAGACTCTCCTTCGCTCTCTTAAAGGTATTTCCGTGTCACTGTGTTCTTTTGCGCCTTCTCAGCTCTTCTTGGGTAACTTAGATCTTTCCCACAATCCTTCTGACCTCCTGGACCTTAGCCATAGTCACCTAGGCTGTTACAGCCTGGTGGCCTCACTGGCCTGATCTGTCACACACACTGATGACTGACAGATGTGTTTTAAACACGTGCACCACAGGAGGTTGGTGGCACTTTAATTGGGGAGGACATGCTTGTGGTAGTGGCTGGAGTGGCATGATTGGAATGGTATCAAATACACTATATATACAAAAGTATGTGGACACCCCTTCAAATTTGTGGATTCAGCTATTTCAGCCACACCCGTTGTTGACAATTGTATAAAATCGAGCACACAACCATGTAATCTTCGTAGACAAACATTGGCACTAGAATAGCCTTACTGAAGAGCTCAGTGACTTACAACATGGTGCCATCATAGGATGCCACCTTTCCAACAAGTCAGTTTGTCAAATTTCTGCCCTGCTAGAGCTGCCCCGGTCAACTGTAAGTGCTGTTATTATGAAGTGGAAACGTCTAGGAGCAACAACGGCTCAGCCGCGAAGTGGTAGGTCACATAAGCTCACAGAACAGGACCGCTGAGTGCTGAAGCACGTAGCGTGTGAAAATTATCTGTCCTCAGTTGCAACACTCACTACCGAGTTCCAAACTGCCTCTGGAAGCAACGTCAGCACAATAACTGTTAGTCTGTGAGCTTCATGAAATGGGTTTCCATGGCTGAGCAGCCGCACACAAGCCTAAGATCACCATGCGCAATGCCAAGTGTCGGCTGGAGTGGTGTAAAGCTCACCGCCATTGGACTCTGGAGCAGTGGAAACGCATTCTCTGTGATGAATCACACTTCACCATCTTGAAGTCCGATGGACGAATCTGTGTTTGGCACATGCCAGGAGAACGCTACCTGCGCCAATGCATAGTGCCAACTGTAAAGTTTGGTGGAGGAGGAATAATGGTCTGGGGTTGTTTTTCATGGTTCGTGCTAGGCCCCTTAGTTCCAGTGAAGGGAAATCTTAACGCTACAGAATACAATGACATTCTAGATGATTCTGTGCTTCCAACTTTGTGGCAACAGTTTGGGTAAGGCCCTTTCCTGTTTCAGCATGACAATTCCCCCGTGCACAAAGCGAGGTCCATACAGAAATGGTTTGTTGAGGTCGGTGTGGAAGAACTTGACTGACCTTTGGGATGAATTGGAACGCCGACTGCGAGCCAGGCCTAATCGCCCAACATCAGTGCCCAACCTCACTAATGCTCTTGTGGCTGAATGGAAGCAAGTCCCCGCAGCAATGTTCCAACATCTAGTGGAAAGCCTTCCCAGAAGAGTGGAGGCTGTTATAGCAGCAAAGGGGGGACCAATTCCATATTAATGCCCATGATTTTGGAATGAGATGTTAGACAAGCAGGTGTCCACATACTTTCGATCATGTAGTGTCCATCAAACACTTGGTTTCTATGTGTTTAATGCCATTCCATTCACTCTGTTCCAGCCATTATTATGAGCCGTCCTCCCCTCAGCAACCTCCACTGATGTGCACACACACACACACACACACACATACACACACCCACACCCACACAGGATGTGAGGGAAAGGGATGAAGAAAGAGAATCTCAGGTGTGTGCATGAAGTCCCAAAGTACACATAGATAAGGTGTGTTCTGACAGGAGAGAGTGTGCCCTATCCTACATGTGCTGAGAGTCCACAGTCCACACTATTACCTGCTCATACATTCAAAGCCAAAGCTTTACTATAGATGGACATGTGCTAAACCAAGTGTGAATTCAGGTATCTATTCTGAGCAAGTGTGTATTCTACAGGTGAAATTATTTCAGGTATTGTAGACCAGTCTAGCAGGATCACCCTCTCTGATCTCAGTACTACAGACCTTTACAGTGTTTAGAGTTAGAGATTCTCTATTCTGTTTACTGACTGCTTAAATTGCAAACCAAACAGTGACATGCAAGGGAGATGTTGACAGTTCTTCACTGATGTATTTTCAGTGAATTGGGCGACATTACTATTCTGTGTGTGTGTACAGTCCCCAAAGAAGTGTGGTTTGTTTACCATGTATAAGGATATAATGAGATAAATCAGGTTTATTGTCTGTGTGTCTGAGGCGGGTCTGTTGGGGACAGATAATGCCTGGTTGTCATGGCTGCTAGGTTGTTAAGGATACCATTTGGGGAATGAATGGTCTCTATGGACAGACGTGTGGCTGGCACGGTGAGGATATGAACTGCAGAAAAGCTTCGGAAGGCAATGAGACCAGTTGGCCACATAGGAGCAGTGTTGTACAACCTTCATGGGACTCAAGACAATATCAACGACATTCCAACAGCATTCACATACTTTCACAAGCGGAGCCACACACATACAGTTGACATACGCATGCACACACACACACACACACACACACACACACACACACACACACACACACACCAACTCAATTTCAATTGCCTCTTCCAGACTCACACCTGAACTCACCACTCACCTACACACATACTCACGTGTGTGTTGTTGTGTGCGGTTGGACCCGGCCCACAGCGGTGTTACTGACTGACTCTCTTTCTTGTGTGTTGTTCTCTCCCGTCCCGCGGCTGGTGGCCTGCTCCCTGATCTCTGTCCCTCAGAGCAGTTAGTGTTGACTCTCATTAGGCAGGAGGAGTCTCCTGACCACCTGGACCCAGAGCTGGGCGTCGGCGTGGCCGCCATGCGCTCCCGCCTCGCTGACAGGTTTGACAAAAGTGAGTTGGAGTCTTGTCTTACACAGGCTGGCCTGGCTGGCGCTCCCCACCGCTTGGAGTTCACTGGTGCATGCCCTGGAATAGTAGCCTATAACGACTAGAGCAGCGGTCGGGGCCAATTCTATTTAATTAGTGAATTTCAATTGAGAATTGACCCCAACCCTGGACTAGAGCAATGTGGTGGTCACTAACCCTGATCCTAGAGGTACACTACTCTCTAGAACCAGGGCTGGTGACCACTGGACTAGAACCAGGGCTGGTGACCGCTGGACTAGAACCAGGGCTGGTGACCGCTGGACTAGAACCAGGGCTGGTGACCGCTGGACTAGAACCAGGGCTGGTGACCGCTGGACTAGAACCAGGGCTGGTGACCGCTGGACTAGAACCAGGGCTGGTGACCGCTGGACTAGAACCAGGGCTGGTGACCGCTGGACTAGGAACCAGGGCTGGTGACCGCTGGACTAGAACCAGGGCTGGTGACCGCTGGACTAGGACCAGGGCTGGTGACCGCTGGACTAGGACCAGGGCTGGTGACCGCTGGACTAGGCTAGTCTGCCTGTCTGCACAGTCACTGCATGAGCTTGTAGTAAATACACTTGATAAGCATTCACGCCAGTGGAGGCTGCTGAGGGGAGAACGGCTCATAATAATGTGTCAGAACGGAGCAAATGGAATGGCATCAAAGACCTGGAAACCATGTGTTTGATGTATTTGATACCATTCCACTGATCCCGCTCCAGATATTACCACGAGCCCATGCTGTATTGATCACCATGTATTCACTTCACAAGATCTAGTACACATTGACAATCATACACATTTACATACAGACACACAGAACCACATGCTATGCTTGCATACATGTAAATAAAGCACACTTACGCATGTCCCATGCATATGCATATGCACATGGCATGCTTTAAGCATGCACATAGATGCATGCATGTGTTTGGGTGCAGTCTGGGAGCTGGGTGTTGACTGTTGAGTTAGATTGGGGAAGAGTGAGCGAGAGGGTGAGCAAGGGAGTAGTTAACTGCATGTTGGGCCGTTGCATGTGTAAATGCAAAATGCGTCGCTGCTGTAATAGTGTGTGTGTGTGTGTGTGTGTGTGTGTGTGTCTCTGAACAGTACAGTATAGTATATGGGATTAAGTATACATGTATACAGCGTGTGTGCAGTCTCTGGTCTCACCTGTTGGATTATCAGTTTATGGATTAGCAGGTAGGGGAAGTTGCAGAGCAGACAGAGAGAGGATTACTACCCCAGCCTGGACTGTAGGAAAGAGGCTCTCCACCTTCCTCTCACCATTTACTCCGTCGCCGTAGTAACTGGACACACTGGCTGTCCTAGCAACCAGCAGACCTGCAGGTCAACCTTGACCAGGAAGTAGACGACTTGGCTAGAGGTCACCTTGGGGACAGGACCAGCCATGGCACCTCATAGGGGTCAGGCGATCGGACGACGCTCCTCCGTAGGTAATGCTATCCTGACCTCATAATGGGAGGGGGTAGGGGAGGAAGGGGGATGAACTGGTGGAACCTCTGATTCACCAAGAAGCATTCAGAGGGTGGGAACTTGAAATGGGCTGTCGAGTTGAGTTTGTAGTTTGCATGGACTATGTTTTAAGTCATATGACTGACTTTATATGTACAACAATTCACTCTGTTGTACAGATTGTTTTTCCTCTTTTGGTTTGTGGTTTTGACTGAGCGTCTCGATCCGACTTTCACATTAAATCGGTGGACATTACAATAGCGATGTTTAATACCGTTTACAACACAAAGCTGAGGGTCGGGCTAAATGCTGGTGTATAATAGGTGCTGAGGGAGCTGTATTGATAGTGTCTGACATCTGAGTTGTCTGCTGAGTGGTGGCATGGCCGTGCCACAGAGGCAGGGTGTCTGCTGAAATAAGGCACCAGCCATACAGGAAAGAGATAGGATGAATTATGCAGCCTCCCTCTATCCATTATTCAGAACAGCGCCTTGCTTTATAGCCGTGAAAGGCTGGCACGTGACCAGGTAACACGGGCAAGGTAAAAAGTGGCACGGGCCAGGTAGTGACCTAAAGGGTTGAGGGGTCAACCCAGAGCCGAACTGAGGGACTGAGCGTAGTACAGTAAAGATGGGCTTAGCTGTGTCTGATTGAGCTATTGATGTGTGGGGGGTGGGGTGATAAGGGGAGGGGGGGGGGGGGGGGGTGATGGGGTGATTAGACACACTCATACCTGGTATAGTCCTATTTACATTTACATTTTAGTCATTTAGCAGACGCTCTTATCCAGAGCGACTTTACAGTTAGTGAGTGCATACATTTTTTTTTTCATACTGGCCCCCCGTGGGAAACGAACCCACAACCCTGGCGTTGCAAGCGCCATGCTCTACCAACTGAGCTGATTGCATGTGTGGTTATATCAGGATGAGAGTAGTTTTACTGGCATTTTACAAGGTCATTCATATTTTGCACACGCACGAACACGCACAACATTGCACCCGACACTCAAAATATTTGCACAGAGCCTACCCACCATTCTGTATTAACCAATCAATAATCAGTCTGGTATGACACTCGAGGGAGAAGCTTTAGGGCCTCCCCTGTTTTAAAGTTTATAAAAGGGTGTGATAGCTTGCTGATTTTTGAGAACGTCTCCATATGCTGAAGTATGCTGTACTGATGAAGAGCTGCTAAATAAAGTATTGCCGTCCTAAAGAAGTTCTGTTTGAGTATTCTTTGAGTCCGTCGACTCTTCAGTAATAAGTTATGGAGGTGACAGTGATTCTGGTTCTGATCCATCAGGGAGGAAGAACACAGAGCCATTGATCTGCTCAGGGATAAATCAGAGCTGTAGCAGGCTGCTGAGATGGTCAATATCGATCTGCTAGGAATGAAAGGTAGAGTCAAGAGGAGAGAGAGAGAGTAGTAAGAGAGAGGGATGAGTGGAGGTATACGGTAAGGACGGAGAGAGAGGGATGAGTGGAGGTATACGGTAAGGACAGAGAGCGAGGGATAAGTGGAGGTATACAGTAAGGACGGAGAGAGAGGGATAAGTGGAGGTATACGGTAAGGACGGAGAGAGAGGGATAAGTGGAGGTATACGGTAAGGACGGAGAGAAAGGGATAAGTGGAGGTATACAGTAAGGACGGAGAGAGAGGGATAAGTGGAGGTATACGGTAAGGACGGAGAGAGAGGGATAAGTGGAGGTATATGGTAAGGACGGAGAGCGAGGGATAAGTGGAGGTATACGGTAAGGACGGAGAGAGAGGGATGAGTGGAGGTAAGGACGGAGAGAGAGGGATGAGTGGAGGTATACAGTAAGGACAGAGAGCGAGGGATAAGTGGAGGTATACGGTAAGGACGGAGAGAGAGGGATAAGTGGAGGTATACGGTAAGGACGGAGAGAGAGGGATAAGTGGAGGTATACGGTAAGGACGGAGAGAGAGGGATGAGTGGAGGTATACGGTAAGGACGGAGAGAGAGGGATAAGTGGAGGTATACGGTAAGGACGGAGAGAAAGGGATAAGTGGAGGTATACGGTAAGGACGGAGAGAGAGGGATGAGTGGAGGTATACGGTAAGGACGGAGAGAGAGGGATAAGTGGAGGTATACGGTAAGGACGGAGAGAGAGGGATGAGTGGAGGTATACGGTAAGGACGGAGAGAGAGGGATAAGTGGAGGTATATGGTAAGGACGGAGAGAGAGGGATGAGTGGAGGTATACGGTAAGGACGGAGAGAGAGGGATAAGTGGAGGTATACGGTAAGGACGGAGAGAGAGGGATAAGTGGAGGTATACGGTAAGGACGGAGAGAGAGGGATAAGTGGAGGTATACGGTAAGGACGGAGAGAGAGGGATAAGTGGAGGTATACGGTAAGGACGGAGAGAGAGGGATGAGTGGAGGTATACGGTAAGGACGGAGAGAGAGGGATGAGTGGAGGTATACGGTAAGGACGGAGAGAGAGGGATGAGTGGAGGTATACGGTAAGGACGGAGAGAGAGGGATGAGTGGAGGTATACGGTAAGGACAGAGAGTGGTAGAGTGGGGAAATGGAGGGAACACAAAAAAACACTAAACAAACACAAAAAATGCTGGGTTATTTGGATGACCCAACTGCTGGGTTGCAGGCATTGGGTCACTTAGTTGGGTTGTTTTCTGTAGCCCTTTCCTGCAGTCAAATGACCTAGTGGCCTCATGGGTGGAATGTTATTAATATTTGTCATAATTTCATAATTAATAACCATTAACAGTTTTGTTATATTTCAGTCTTCTGTGATGTATATAAGTGTAAGTGTAATATTGGGATGCAAACTCAAAATGTAATAGATTTAAACTCTATATCTGTGAGGTATATACTTTTATTTAAAAGTAGATTTGTTTAAGACTACCAAGAAACACTGTGTGACCCTGATTTAGCCCATGGCAGTAAACGGTTAAAAAGAGCAAGGTTGGGTTGTTGATGCTGGGTTATTGAGATATGACCCAGCGGGTCAGATCAGAAGACTGGGTTTGCGGCTTATTAGGGGCGTGGCTTTCAGGTAGTTATATCTGGCCACCTGCAAGAGTAAATTGAATTCCCGTTCATCTGTTTTGCTGTATTGTTATCACATTGGAGTCAGGGGTGGGAAAATCTGGTCCTGTGTCCAGGGTTTGGTTCCAGACCAGCTTTAACACACCTGATTCAACTTATCCTAGGCCTATGTAGCACATGGGGATGTGTGAAACTCACTCCTCAGCCTTAAGTGTCCCCACTTGCCCTACCGAATAGCTAGCTTTTCGGTGGCGCTGACTGGTAAGACTTTTCGAGAGAGCGGTCACGTGTGCTAGCAAGGCAGAGGTCCTGGGTTCGAGCCTCACTGTGAGCCGTATCAGGAGGAAGCGGTACTCGCTAAGCAAGCAGCGTGACGTCCATTACACCTGTACACACTGTGGCACCTGTATATGGTTATTCTGTTCCTTCCTTCATGCCAGATGCTTACCTGATATGCCTGGCAAAATCTTGCAGTGATCTCCACTCCTAAAAATGTGTCCCTGTCCCCATTCCAGTGGAAAGAAGGAGGCGCCTGAATATTGACGCTATCAGGGGCTTTAATGACCAGGGGCTTTTGACTGGGTCATTTCATCCGAGGCGCTTCACAGTAGAGCCCTGCAAGGGCATGAATTTTAAGCTCAAGTCCTACCAATGCTGCACCGTTCAGGCCCTACCCTACCCAGGGCCGATTGCTTCTGCCAAATTTAAGGCCCTGCCCGAAATCAGAAATAACTTCCTCCGTTAGTAAATCCATTAGCTGCTCCTCTCTGTCCCTGCACACAGCTCGCTCTGCTCATGGCAGCTCTGAGTCTTTGAGTATCCATAGCAACAGCTCCGCTTGGGCTGCTCTGCTCTATGAAGAGACATGAGAGAGCACTTAGCTAGCTACTTTTCGTCACTCTAAACCCCAACAAAACTCAAGGAACATTAGTATTTTCTGTGAAATAATCTCTCCTGTTTTATATTTGACAAGGTTGAAGCACTTCTGACACCATGTTATGATCTTAGTCAGATATAACTGTACTGCGCATCATTAGAGCACGAGCAAATGGCTTAGCTTCAAAATGTCAGTGATCAATTTAGTGATACCTGAGCCCTGCCCGTACTCTAGTTATTGACAGAGCCCTGCCCGTACTCTAGTTATTGACAGAGCCCTGCCCGTACTCTAGTTATTGACAGAGCCCTGCCCGTACTCTAGTTATTGACAGAGCCCTGCCCGTACTCTAGTTATTGACAGAGCCCTGCCCGTACTCTAGTTATTGACAGAGCCCTGCCCGTACTCTAGTTATTGACAGAGCCCTGCCCGTACTCTAGTTATTGACAGAGCCCTGCCCGTACTCTAGTTATTGACAGAGCCCTGCCCGTACTCTAGTTATTGACAGAGCCCTGCCCGTACTCTAGTTATTGACAGAGCCCTGCCCGTACTCTAGTTATCCGGCCCTAACTCAATGTATAATGTCTGGGCCCATCGGGCTCGGGTCGGTTAACAGAGCTCTACTTATAATAATAATAATAATAATAATAATAATAATAATAATATGCCATTTAGCAGACGCTTTTATCCAAAGTGACTTACAGTCATGTGTGCATACATTTTTACGTATGGGTGGTCCTGGGGATCGAACCCACTACCCTGGCGTTACAAGCGCCATGCTCTACCAATTGAGCTACAGAGGACCGACCACAGGCAATACAGAAATAACTTAGAAATGTTATTAGATTGAAATATATGGTTATAGAACTTGGGCCAGGGCTCTCTCTATGTTGGCTGTGGCCCATTGATTGGCCTCTGGGGAAATGATCACCCTATTCCCTATTGTAACATTCAATACAGTGGAAACTCAACCCTCCAAAGCTCTTCTGGCTCTTATTATTTGTCTGAATTATTGATGGATTAATGGCTGTTTTTATTTCCAGACCCACACAGCGATCCAGACAGGGCCCATTCTTGTAAGAATTGATTGCCAATTGTATTGTTGGTGAGGTTTGGAGTAGCACCTGAAATGAGTTAGAAATTGGGCTGCAGTAGGGCCAATATTGCAGCTTGTGCCTATGACTTCATATAGCCTGCCCTGAATAGTAAATGTAGACTGAACCTCATAAGGCCCCAGAAAACGGTGTGGGAAACTGAGGATAGTGATCTCTTGATGGATGACTCGTCCCCTTTCAAGTGTAATTTAAACTGGTAAACCGAGCCTGCAATGTCAGACCGCAGACACAATACCAGTCTCCGGGGCTACTGTCCCTTTAAATACCGAGCCCTCAGCCCGCCCTCGAATGGGAACACCATAGTCTAGGCTCCACGAGAGACTGAGGCCGTTGTCTGGTGTCGAAGCATCTAATCCACGTTGCAGATAGACCATTTTTAAAAGCCTTCTCTAGACCGCCAGAGACGGCCCGATGAAACGGAGGCGGTGGAGGTCTGTGTGCTTGTTTGGGCTATTCTCACAAGCAGTCGGGAGCTTCCCGGACAGCGAGGCCAAGGGAGAGGAGACGAGTGACGGGCGTGCACCATCTGTCCTCACCGGGGCTTGTTGTGCCAGCTGGGTAAACTATTCCGTCACGTCCAGACCTGATTGCCTCTATCGCCCCCCTCCATTATTTAGCGCAGCCCGATGACAGAAAATGTTCCTCCGACGCTCAGTGGGTGTGCAAGTCGTGCTGATCGCAGCTTCGCCTTTATTTTAAACGATTAAACTACAAAGGAGGGGCGACTCAGTAGGCAGTGCAAACGCAGAGCGAATTATGCAGCGTCGGTTCGGGTTCTCTGCTTGGGCGATAATGCTGGTGCACTATTCGCTCATAGTGCGATGTAACAAGGCCCCCTGTTTGATAAACAAATACACAATGTTTCCGCGCGGATGAAAGGACTCAAACCCACGGTGTTTGTTTGACCATTGTGCATCCCTCATCACATTCTATACAAGGGCACCCGTGGGCGTCGAGCGGCTTGTGTGTGTATTGGTGATGGAGCTATAGCATGGCAATTCCATGGTAACAAGAGTGATGCTGAGACTGACTTTAAAATGTATGTCAAACAAAAACCAATGATGGCAAAGTTAAACAAACCATACAACTCTATTCACAAGCACGAATTTTAACAATTTCCACAGAACATTTTACAAAACACATTTAGTTTACTTGAAGACGGCACCAACAGTAGAAACAGTCATTCTGTTATCAAACGTTGCATCTACACTATTCTTCATGTAAATGTGTTTTTGTGAAAATGTCAGTGGAAATTGGTCAAATTAACTTTGCAATCATTAATTTTTGTTTGACATACATACATTTTAAAGTAAAAAAATCGAGGAGTCTCAGCATCACTCTTTTGGATTCGCCCAGCACGAAGCGAGGCAGCGCACTGAAAGAAGACGGGCTGTTTAGAATGGGGAGGTGGGGACGTCATTGACATCGACAGCCAGCATACAGTAGCCCTACCTGTTTTCTGCCCTCTACTTTTGAACTGTAAACCACGTCTCTTATGTCTCTCCCTGTCTCCCACACACACTTACCCTAGCCTCGCCTCTCTCCCATCAATCGAACGGTGCAGGAACCTCTTGTTCATCCGCCGGCTACCGCAAGGCAGATGATGAGATGTCCGGGACTACTTCGCAGGCAGATCCCATAGATGCCACGGCACGGACGATTCTGCTAAACCAACCTCAGAACACCAAGTTCTGTGACAACCATGTCAGGTAAGATTTCACCTGGCTACAGCATCATTATCATCAAGTTAATGAATACAGACTTTAATTGCCTTTCCAGACAAGTTGTGATATTATAATTGCCTACAATAGTTTGTTGATAGTTTTAGGGATTTATTTTCACATTTAGATTTATTTTGTGAGATAGTTTTTGTGATCGCCTAAAGGTCTTATTATTGATAGGCTATAGGAGTTAATGGTCCAGTTATGGAATAGTAAAGGATGATTGGAAATTATCATCAATTATGTGTTCAATGGCCTCCAATGGTTGGAGAGCTGCATCAAAGGGTTGTTGTTTTAAGTTCAGTGCATCTGAGGAAAGTGCTTAACATGACCATTTACTGTTCTTAATCAATAATTTTAAAACAGGCACTGAAAATAACTACAGTGAGTTTGTAGAAGTTAATAGAAGCTCCTCTGGCATTAATGGTAGGCTACATTAAGTAGTATGAATATAATAGTTATCCTTGAATTATCCTTAAATCTAATAAGACATGCTGTAGTATGGTCTGGTCTCTGATCAGGTTACTATGTGCTGTCCTGATCAGATGAAACGAACAACCTTCTCACACTACATTTTAAAATGCCAACAGCCCAGAGTTTTGACTTCAATTCAATACATTTTTAATTCAATACGACTCTGAATTTGGGAGATTTTGGTAAGCAGGGGATCCAGCCTTGCTTGTTAACAGAGCCGGTCTCTAAAGCGATAACATTCACAACCAGTTGGTGAATGTTCTGGCGTGTGCCCATCTCTCGTGGGCAGAGATGGGCAGCATGTATTTGAAATATGTATTTTAATTACTTCTGAGTATTTTGTAATATGAATTACACTTGACTGAACTACACTCTAATGTATTTTGTATTTTCAAAATACAAAATACTTTTCTATACATTTAGTTTTATAGCGGTTCACATTTTGTGGCCCCCCTTTCACGCTGCCTTGGTATCAGAAGTCTGATAGCACTATGGTGTGATAAAAGCGTCTGCTAAATGAACTAAACATAAAGCTCTGGAAAAAATTAAGAGACCACTGCACATTTTTCTTAAATTAGCATCTCTACATGTATGACAGCCATTCCATTCCAGTGTCTGTTGAATTCCAACACAGGCACACCTCATTCTACTGAATAGGTACTGATTAGGTGATCACATGAACCAAATCTTATTTAACAAGGAAAATGATAAAAAACCACTGCTGTGGTCATCACTATCATCTTGCAATAGGTGGATGGCAAAAACAGTGCTAATAATACCTCAAAAGTAAAATTAATCAAAAAATAACAATTGACCATGCCAAAAGAGTTGAAAAGGAACGTTTTGAGTGAGGAAAAGAAGGGTTCAATTCTGGCTTTACTGGCAGAGGGATACAGTGAGCTTCAGGTTGCTTCCATCCTTAAAATGGTTCATAAGAACAAGTTCAAGCAGCAGACATTGGGGACAACAAAGCTACAGACCGGCAGAGGGCGAAAACGACTCTACTGACCGGGATGACCGCCAACTCATTCGAATGTCACTCAACAACTGTAGGATGACATCAAGTGACCTACAAAAAGAATGTCAAACGGCAGCTGGGGTGAAGTGCACGGCGAGGACGGTTCAAAACAGGCTCCTAGGGGCAGGGCTGAAGTCATGCAAAGCTAGAAAAAAGCCCTTCATCAATGAGAAGCAAAGAAGAGCCAGGCTGAGGTTTGCAAAAGACCATAAGGATTGGACCGTAGAGGACTGGAGTAAGGTCATCTTCTCTGATGAGTCCAATTTTCAGCTTTGCCCAACACCTGGTCGTCTAATGGTTAGACGGAGACCTGGAGAGGCCTACAAGCCACAGTGTCTCGCACCCACTGTGACATTTGGTGGAGGATCGGTGATGATCTGGGGGTGCTTCAGCAAGGCTGGAATCGGGCAGATTTGTCTTTGTGAAGGACGCATGAATCAAGCCACCTACAAGGTTGTCCTGGAAGAAAACTTGCTTCCTTTTGCTCTGACATTGTTCCCCAACTCTGAGGATTGGTTTTTCCAGCAGGACAATGCGCCATGCCACACAGCCAGGTCAATCAAGGTGTGGATGGAGGACCACCAGATCAAGACCCTGTCATGGCCAGCCCAATCTCCAGACCTGAACCCCATTGAAAACTTCTGGAATGTGATCAAGAGGAAGATGGATGGTCACAAGCCATCAAACAAAGCCGAGCTGCTTGAATTTTTGCGCCAGGAGTGGCATAAAGTCACCAAACATCAATGTGAAAGACTGGTGGAGAGCATGCCAAGACGCATGAAAGCTTTGATTGAAAATCAGGGTTATTCCACCAAATATTGATCTCTGAACTCTTCCTAAGTTAAAACATTAGTATTGTGTTGTTTTAAAAATGAACATTAACTTATTTTCTTTGCATTATTTGAGGTCTGACAACACTGCATCCTTTTTGTTATTTTGACCAGTTGTCATTTTCAGCAAATAAATGCTCTAAATGACTATTTTTATTTGTCATTTGGGAGAAATGTTGTCAATAGTTTATAAAATAAAACAAAAATGTTATTTTTACCCAAACGCATACCTATAAATAGTAAAACCAGAGAAACTGATAATTTTGCAGTGGTCTCTTAATTTTTTCCAGAGCTGTATATGCAAAAATGAACGATTGCAAAGCATGCTGAGTATTATTTTAATGAGCTCCGCCCCGAAACAATACACACTGTGCTTTGCAGTTCATTTTGGTATGTTCATTTTCACATATACATTTACATTTTGGTCATTTAGCAGGCACGCATATCCAGAGTGACTTGCTCTACTAAGGTAGATCAACAAAAACATATCAGTCATGGCAAGTAAAATGTATTTGTAACCGTTGATGTTCGGGCTTGCTACTTGCAAATTTATTTTTGTATTTTAAAATACAAAATACATGTATTTTGATTAAATACATTACAAAATACGAGTATGTAGTTCATTTTGATACATTGATATTTATGGTATTTTGTATCTGTATTTATAATTGTATTTAGTCGTTTTTGCCCATCCCTGCTTGTGGGCAGGGTTGAGGGCAGGGCCCAAATGGAATCTGCATCTGTGGGGAATCTCTTTTATCATTAAGGACCCATGTCAGTTCTATCTGCAACATTTAGGATGTGACGCCCTCCTGAACATTACCCTGGCGCCTATAGAATCCATCAGGTCCTAGTTACGTGGGTAGAAGCCTGTCGTCAGGAGGTAAACGCACCTCATCGATCTGTCTTTACTGTCAGGAGATTCAATTCTGCTCTGAAACAGGCCTATTTCTGGTCCGTTAATGAGATTAAGATGGGCCTTCGCCAACTCGTCTTATTGGATCACCAGGCCTTTCCTGGCCTGTGATTGGACAGTCTGGCTTTGGACACATGCCCTTTGATGTCCCAGTGTTCCCATATGTCTTTAATTGATGTTTTAAGGCTTCACTGCTCCGATTGATTACTCTGAGATTAAATTCCTATAGTCACCCTTCTCTTTTCCACCTTCACGCCATGTTTTATTCACAGCCCTGTGTCTCTGTGTCCCTGTCCATATGTCAATCAGTCACCACAACACAACCACCATGGACAAGTACTTGGCGTAGGTGTTGTCCGTAGGCACAGATCTAGGATCAGCTTACACTCACCTATTTCCTAACCTTAACCAAATCACATTTTATTGGTCGCATACACATATTTAGCAGATGTTATTGTGGATATAGTGAAATGCTTGTGTTCCTAGCTCCAACAGTGCAGTAATATCTAAAAAGTAAAAGAATGGAATTAAGAAAGTTATTTCCGGCTGTATGTAATAATGCAAAGAACGTTCTGAGCAAATAATGTGAGAAATAACACTTAAGAACAAAACAAAATACTGCAGAGTTGCTTAGGAGCCAGGAGCAGGACGACCATGTCTATCGACGCTGTCTTGTCATTAATTAGGGGGAAATGTAAAACTGACCATAGATCAGCGTTTTAAGGGCAGTTACACTCAATCACAATAGCTTCTATATACTGTAATTATCTCAATATACTGTAATTATCACAACCATAAGCTGCCCTAATACTATTAGAGAATTACCATCACAGCAACTACATGACCACATTATCAATTCAAACAGCATTTCCTGTCAACACAGCGAACACACCATTGTAGCAACCAACTAGTTTATGACATGTCTCTGTGCATATCTGATATAATATATATGTTAGATTAGATAAAAGCAGCTTTATCTGGTGGATCAGATGTATGATATCCGACACTCTTAAGGTGTGTGTGTGTATCCGGGTCAGCAGCTGCTGTTCCTGTACATCTGGTATTTGATGTCCTGGTCTTAGAGTGTGTGGCTTTGGGCTCGTCTCCAAGGAGATTCTGACGTGATGGAGGATTTAGATACTCTCAAACACAGACACAGTAAGACACACGCACCAACACAATCACATACACACCAACACATAAGCACACGCTTGAGTTAGCTATATTGGCCAGGATAAAGACAGACCCTGAACTGAAGGCTGATAGTTATTTTAGTCTCTTATAGCTGCTGGCTATTATCAAGGCTAATCAATGCTGTTGTCTGATCAATACAGGTGATTGACTGACACGTTTTGCCTAGTTAGGAGGTTTGGTCTAAATATAATGCTTTGAACAGTGAGGTTCGGTTCATTTGCGGGGATGTGAAGGTGTGCAGCCCATAATAGATCCTTTTATGTTTTCTTGCCCGAGCATGTTTACATCTAATTGTGTAGTCTCTAATGGGGTTTCAAGTGCATCGATAATCAGCTATCGGTGGAGACATCTGGGATTTTTGGAGAAGGGATTGAAGAAGAGATTTACACTCTAGTGACTACCTCTGTTTTACCCTGGAGACCACAGAGGTGGTTTCTGCTAAGGAAAATCAAACTCTCTATTTTTGTCTTTTTCAATCAGATATACAGAGCCCAAGGGGGATTACTCTTTTGGTGTGCTGATATAGTACCCAATACAATCACATCCACTTTAGCCGACATATCCATAGCGGTTGTTTTTGCGATGTCGGAGGTGGAACCACATTAGAGCTGTCAGATCCACAAGCAGCCCCGTGCGGTAGGCTATTGCGGACACTGCCGTTGGATGAACTGAGTCGCGTTAGTAATAGTTCCATGCAGCCTCTACACCTCAATTAGGCTGGTATAAATCTTTATTATTTTGTTGAATTATAATTATATTAGTGTCATTATTTAGATCTGCTATACAGCCTACACCTTCTCGTTCTGAACTTCTAACACGAGTGGGAGGGGTGTGTGATTACGTGACAACAACACGAGCAGCTGCTCACCGATTTGGAAAGCTCTTAATGCAGTTCCACCTCCAACACTGCCAAAACACCAGCTATGCGAGTGTTGGCTATTGCCGGTTAACGCTTGATCTGATTGAATCCCGGCCTTATTGTGTTTCATTACCATGGTGACTTCCCTGTATCCTTCCTCCTCCACGTTCTCCTCAGTACCACTAAGTACGGGGTGCTTACCTTCCTGCCTCGTTTCCTGTACGAGCAGATCCGCCGCGCCGCCAACGCCTTCTTCCTCTTCATCGCCCTAATGCAGGTAGGCCACGCCCACAACGCACAGAGTACAATTGGTTTACTCTGGAGGGCGCAACGTTATAGGACATTCACATAGAAATGTGTTGTCTAGATAAGATACGATTCTCTGTCGTGTAGAACAATGAAATGAATCAGCTCTATTCATTACATTTCTATCTGTAACCTGCACTGACAACCTGACTGTGTCTAACCACACCCTCAGCATTTCCTCAACATTGTCTGTGTTCTTCCTGTCAGCAAATCCCTGATGTGTCTCCTACGGGTCGCTACACCACCCTGGTACCACTCATCTTCATCCTCACTGTGGCCGGGATCAAAGAGATCATAGAGGACTATGTAAGTAGGACAGACAGCTCACAGCTCAACAGTCACAGCTCAGCTCAGCTCCCCCGCTGTGGAACAACACCCTGCAGAGTTTCTGAATCTCCCCCTCTGTTCCAAAACAATTTTTTAGCCAGCGAAGTGGCGTTCTTGTGCGCTTTAATGTGAAAGAAAGAGAGAGGGAGACTCATAAGGAACTAACACACCCTCTCTGTCTCTTTACAGCAAAGACACAAGGCAGACAACACAGTCAACAATAAAAAGACCACAGGTATTGGACGATTGTGTGTTTGCATATGCATGAGTGTGTGCCCTTGTCAGTCAGTTTTATTTGCCTTTTACTTGGATGAGTGAATAACTAGTTTAAGGGAATAGACCATTGTGCTTTAGAAAGGATCAACAGTATATGAAGTGTATAGGCTAACAGCTCTGTTGTCATTGTGTCTCAGTTCTGAGGAATGGAGCCTGGCAGACCATCATATGGAAACAGGTAACATTACCCTCATCCTCTTCTCTCAACAGCCTGTCTGACTAGTGGTTACAGATGGAGCCCAGAGTCTTTTGCATACCACCCGACCTGAACGGGAAAAACTCAGAACTCAAGTTGCAGCCTATAACTAGGGCCCAGAGTCTTTCCTGATCAGGTTATCTATGGAAGGAAAACTCATGGCCCTAGTTATAAAGACTGCATGACACATTATTTACCTCTCCAGAATGTTCTCTGGCGTCTTTCTCCACATTGTTTAATATCCTCTGTATCTAGTGTCCTTGCTGTGACTGAGGGAAGCGTCAGATAAAAACATCCACTGTAAAGCTACTTGCTGCTCACTGTCACTTTCTCTCTCCCTCCACCATCTCTCTCTCCCTCCACCATCCCTCGCTCTCCCTCCACCATCCCCTGCTCTCCCTCCACCATCCCCTGCTCTCCCTCCACCATCCCGCTCTCCCTCCACCATCCCCTGCTCTCCCTCCACCATCCCCTGCTCTCCCTCCACCATCCCCTGCTCTCCCTCCACCATCCCGCTCTCTCCCTCCACCATCTCGCTCTCTCCCTCCACCATCTCGCTCACTCCCCCCACCATCTCGCTCTCTCCCTCCACCATCTCTCTCTCTCCCTCCACCATCTCTCTCTCTCCCTCCACCATATCTCTCTCTCTCCCTCCACCATACTTCTCTCTCTCTCCCTCCACCTATCTCCTCTCTCCCTCCCATCTCTCTCCTCCCATCCGCTCTCCCTCCACCATCCCCTGCTCTCCCTCCACCATCCCGCTCTCCCTCCACCATCTCTCGCTCTCCCTCCACCATCCCTCGCTCTCCCTCCACCATCCCCTGCTCTCCCTCCACCATCCCCCGCCTCTCCCCTCCACCATCCGCTCTCCCTCCACCATCTCCGCTCTCCTCCCTCCACCATCTCGCGCTCTCCCTCCACCATCTCGTCTCTCTCACTCCTCCACCATCTGCTCTCTCCCTCCACCATCCTGCTCTCCTCCCCTCCCTCCCTCCCTCTCTCCTCCCACCATCTCTCTCCACTCCTCCCCACCATCTCCCTCACACCATTCTCTGCTCTCCCTCCCATTCCATCTCCCTCCACCATCTCTCTCTCCCTCCACCATCTCTCTCTCCCTCCACCATCTCTCTCTCTCCCTCCACCATTCTCTCTCTCTCCCTCCACCATTCTCTCTCTCCCTCCACCATCTCCTCTCTCCCTCCACCACTCTCTCTCCTCTCCTCTCCTCACCACATCTCCTCTCTCCCTCCACCATCTCCTCTCTCTCACCTCCACCATATTCTCTCCCATCTCTCTTCCCTCCACCATCCCTCTCCCTCCTCTCCCTCCACCATCTCGCTCTCTCCCTCCCCATCTCCCTCCCCATCTCCCTCTTCCTCCCTCCTCACCATCCTCGCTCCTCCCCTCCCCTCTCCTCTCACCTCTCGCCTCTCTCCTTCTCCTCTCCCTCACATCTCTGCTCTCCTCCTCCACCATCCCTCTCTCCCACCATCCTCGCTCTCCCTCCACATCCTCTTCTCCCTCCACCATCTTCTCTCCTCCACTTCTCTCCTCCCCCACCATCTCGCTCTCTCTCTCCCACCATCTCTCTCACCCTCCCCCTTCTCTCCTCCCACCATCTCCTCTCCTACCATCTCGTCTCCTCCACCTCTCCTCTACCCTCCACCATCTCCTCCTCCCTCCACCATCTCTCTTCCTCCCCTCTCCTCCACCACCATTCTCTCTCCCTCCACCATCCTTCTCTCCCTCCACCATCTCGCTCTCTCCCTCCACCATCTCGCTCTCTCCCTCCACCATCTCACTCCTCCCTCCACCATCTGCTTCCTCTCTCTCCCTCCACCATCTCCTCTCTCCCTCCACCATCTCTCCTCTCTCCCTCCACCATCCTCTCTCTCTCCCTCCCACCAAACTGCTCTCTTCCCTCCCCAATTCTCTCTTTCCCTCCACCATCTCGTCTCTTCCCTCACCATATATCTCCTCCTCCACCATATGCTCCTCTCCCTCCACCATGCTGCTCTCTGCCTCCACATCCGCTTCCCTCCCTCCACCCTCTCTCTCTCCTCCACCACTTGCCTCTCCCTCACCATCTGCTCTGCCTCCACACCTCCGCTCCCTCCACCATCTCGCCCTCTCCTCACATTGTCTCTCCCTCCACCTCCCTCCACCATCTCTCTCTATTCTCCCTGCTTCACATTCTCTTTGCCCCCCCGCCCCCACCCCCCCCCCACGTGTTCTCATTCTCTCCTCCTGCTGTTGCATTGCTGCGTCCTGGCCACAAGGTGGCAGTAGGAGACAATAGTGAAGGTGACCAATGGGCAGCATCTTCCAGCTGACATGGTCATAGTGTCCTCCAGGTTGGTTTGTGGTGACGTTGTGTGATGTCATCATTATGTTTGATCAGGGCTGTTCAATTCCGGTCCTGGAGGGCCAAAACACTTCTGGTTTTTGTTTCTACCTGGTAGTTAATTGCACTCAACTGGTGTCCCAGGTCTGAATTAGTCCCTTATTAGAAGGAGATGATGAAAACCAGAAGTGTTTGGGTCCTCCAGGACCAGGATTGAACAGCCCTGTGTTTGATAAATGTTTAAATATTTTCTATTTGACTGTTGCATAGATGAACGTGGAAGTGAATGTTCTAAGGAATGTTGTGGTAATGTTGGACTCCATCCCTCTCCACAGTGAGCCTCAGGCCATGTGTTACACTGAGACCTCCAACCTGGACGGAGAAACCAACCTGAAAATCAGACAGGTAAGACGTGTATGTGTGTGTGTTAGGAATGACCCTAAAGATGTGGGTATGTTATCCGCATCCGGAGGAGCTGATGATGGGACTGTGTATGTGTGTGAGTTAGTGTGTACCTGCTCTAACTGTGTGTGTGTGTGTGTGTGTGTGTGTGTGTGTGTGTGTGTTTTTCAGGGTCTCACTCACACAGCTGGTCTCCAGTCTCTGGAGGAGCTGATGGGTCTCTCTGGCCGTCTGGAGTGTGAAGAGCCCAACGGACACCTGTACGACTTCACTGGGACCTTACGCCTGGACAACCAAAAGTACTGAACACACACCTAACATAGAATTAGATCATTTTGAACCTCCACCTGATTGTCACTGTTCTCTCTCTCCAGTGCGGCTCCTCTTGGTCCTGACCAGGTGCTACTGAGAGGTGCCCAGCTCAGGAACACGCAATGGGTTGTGGGAATTATAGTCTACACTGGACATGACTCCAAACTGATGCAGGTGAGCCATTTCAAGCCTTTATTGTGATCCAAACTTAACTTGAACCATAGTCTTGAATCAAGCAACTCTTACCCCTACAAAGCAGTAGAGCTTGGTGTTCCTTCTCCACTGCATTTTGGGTGTTTTGTAAACGTCCCTTTTTCAGGACCCTGTCTTTCAAAGATAATTCGTAAAAATCCAAATAACTTCACAGATTTTCATTGTAAAGGGTTTAAACACTGTTTCCCATGCTTGTTCAATTAACCATAAACAATTAATGAACATGCACCTGTGGAACGGTCGTTAAGTCACTAACAGCTTACAGACGGTAGGCAATTAAGGTCACAGTTATTAAAACTTAGGACACTAAAGAGGCCTTTCTACTGACTCTGAAAAACCCCAAAAGAAAGATGCCCAGGGTCCCTGCTCATCTGTGTGAACGTGCCTTAGGCAAGCTGCAAGGAGGCATGTGGACTGCAGATGTGGCCAGGGCAATAGATTGCAATGTCCGTACTGTGAGACGCCTAAGACAGCGCTACAGGGAGACAGGACGGACAGCTAATCGTCCTCGCAGTGGCAGACCACGTGTAACAACACCTGCACAGGATCGGTACATCCGAACATCACACCTGCGGGACAGGTACAGGATGGCAACAACAACTGCCCGAGTTACACCAGAACGCACAATCCCTCCATCAGTGTTCAGACTGTCCGCAATAGGCTGAGAGAGGCTGGACTGAGGGCTTGTAGGCCTGTTGTAAGGTAGGTCCTCACCAGACATCACCGGCAACAACGTCGCCTATGGGCACAAACCCACCGTCGCTGGACCAGACAGGACTGGCAAAAAGTGCTCTTCACTGATGAGTCGCGGTTTTGTCTCACCAGGGGTGATGGTCGGATTCGCGTTTATCGTCGAAGGAATGAGAGTTACACCGAGGCCTGTACTCTGGAGCAGGATCGAGGTGGAGGGTCCGTCATGGTCTGGGGCGGTGTGTCACAGCATCATCGGACTGATCTTGTTGTCATTTTAGGCAATCTCAACACTGTGCGTTACAGGGAAGACATCCTCCTCCCTCATGTGGTACCCTTTCTGCAGGCTCATCCTGACATGACCCTCCAGCATGACAATGCCACCAGCCAAACTGCTCGTTCTGTGTGTGATTTCCTGCAAGACAGGAATGTCAGTGTTCTGCCATGGCCAGCGAAGAGCCCGGATCTCAATCCCATTGAACACGTCTGGGACCTGTTGGATCGGAGGGTGAGGGCTAGGGCCATTCCCCCCAGAAATGTCCTGGAACTTGCAGGTGCCTTGGTGGAAGAGTGGGGTAACATCTCACAGCAATAACTGGCACATCTGGTGCAGTCCACGAGGAGGAGATGCACTGCAGTACTTAATGCAGTCGGTGGCCACACCAGATACTAACTGTTACTTTTGTTATTTTGACCCCCACTTTGTTCAGGGACACATTATTCAATTTCTGTTAGTCACGTCTGTGGAATTTGTTCAGTTTATGTCTCAGTTGTTGAATCTTGTTATGTTCATACAAATATTTAAAATAAACGCAGTTGACAGTGAGAGGATGTTTCTTTTTTTTGCTGAGTAGTTCCACATGAAGGATGTAATAATGTGTTGATTGTTCCTTCCAGAACTCGACCAAGGCCCCTCTGAAGCGTTCTAACGTGGAGCGGGTGACCAACGTCCAGATCCTGGTGCTGTTCTGCATCCTCCTGGTGATGGCGCTAGTGAGCTCAATAGGAGCCTCCATCTGGAACCAACAACACACTGAGGAGGCCTGCTGGTACCTGTCACGCGCAGGTGAGAATACACAGACACACACACACACACACACACACACACGCCCGTTATTCATTCTCTACTCTTCCATATAAGCTCTTGACCGTGTGTGTGTGTGTGTGTCTACAGGTGACATTTCTACTAACTTCTGGTATAACCTGCTGACGTTCATCATCCTCTACAACAACCTCATCCCCATCAGCCTGCTGGTCACTCTGGAGGTGGTCAAGTTCACACAGGCACTCTTCATCAACTGGGTACAGATGGACACACGTGTGTGTTTTAGAGTATTTAACTCTGTTTAGAGGTGTGTCATGTAACCTCTCTCTGTATTTGGTGGTCAGGATGAGGAGATGTACTACCCGGAGACAGACACACCCGCCATGGCTCGAACATCTAATCTCAACGAAGAACTGGGCCAGGTGAGGATGGATTCCACCGATCTGTTCACATCAGGTCTCAACCAATCAGAGTTGAATTATGTTGTGTACTGATATCCTTTATCTCTCTCCCAGGTGAAGTATCTGTTTTCTGATAAGACAGGAACTCTCACCTGTAACGTCATGCACTTCAAGAAGTGTACCATCGCTGGAATCACATATGGGCACTTCCCTGACCTAGATGTTGATCGTTCTATGGAGGACTTCAGGTCAGTGACCCCCTCTTCTTCACCTTTGGCTGTGCTATGACCTACTATCTATACTACAAAGACCCCATTACCCTTTTCTTTGTTGTATATAATAAGTAGTGTTGGTAGTGTTTAATTCTGTCCGTCTCCTTCTCTCTCAGTCCCCTGCCGTGCAGCAGTCATAACTCCACAGAGTTTGATGACCCCACTCTCATCCAGAACATTGAGAAGAACCATGTAGGTGTTCCCCTGAGCTCCTGAGTTCTTCTCTAATGATAATTCTTATACTGAATGAGAATGACACTAGGCCGTGTATATCTCTCTCCCCCCCCAGCCGACCTCTGCCCAAATCTGTGAGTTTCTGACGATGATGGCGGTGTGTCACACGGTGGTCCCAGAGAGAGAGGAGGACCAACTTATCTACCAGGCCTCCTCGCCAGGTAGACAGCCTATCACTAAACAGCTTATACACCTTAGAGCCAATCATAACTCAGCTACTAGACAATAGGACCAATCACATCCTAGCTACTACACCTTAGAGCCAATCACAACTCAAAACTTACTAATATGTGCAATGCATGTTTTTGTTTTTTCTTTCCTCAGATGAAGGAGCTCTGGTGAAAGGAGCCAAAGGTCTGGGCTTCGTTTTCACAGCAAGAACTCCTGGCTCAGTTATCATTGAAGCAGTAAGTGTGGGTTTGAGAGACCATTTGAAGAAAGGTAAATACTCATCCTCTTGTGTTTCATTCTTGGTATTTGTTTGTGTCTTTCAGAGGGGGAAGGAGAAGAGCTTTGAGTTGCTGAATGTGCTGGAGTTTTCAAGGTAAATAAAATGACACACACACTTACTCACGACACACACATTCACAGACACTTAACAGTCTCTCATTTCTACAGTAACCGTAAGCGCATGTCTGTAGTGGTCCGAACCCCCGATGGTAAACTGCGTCTTTACTGCAAGGGAGCAGTGAGTATACCCCCAGTCATTGAATGCACAACAGTTTATTCCCATAGTGTCTTTGCGCATAATGATGATGAAACGGCGCATGTTGATGATGTCATGGCGTTTGTTTCAGGATAATGTGATCTTTGAGCGTCTCACTGATGCATCTCAGTACAAAGAGCTGACCATCGCACATCTGGAACAGTTCGCCACCGAGGGTACGGCCTTTCTCTTTTTATATGTCCTGGTCTTGGTCAATATTTTCCTCCCATCTTTTTCCTATTTACCATATTTTTCTCTGCCAGATACATTTTTCCCTTTTACTTGATCTACATTATTACTGCTTAATTCAGGGATGGGCAACTTTGATGGGGGGTAGGGGCCGCAAAAATCAGAACTCATCATGAGGGGCCACAGTGGCTCGCGGGTCTGCTACCCACAGCCATACCCACATGCAGTCCGAACCGGCATTAGCCTTTTGGGGGCCCTCACCTTGCGAGCAAAACATTTTAGCAGCTCCCCTTTTGACAGCGGAGAAAATACAAACATTTTAGAGTAGGGCTGACCCCATTTAGTCGACTGGTCAATTGTTTGGTCGATAGGCTGTTGGTCGACCAAGATTGTTTTAGTAGTGCAATGGCAAATGTATAAAAAACATGTGTGGCACACGAGACACCTGGCTGACCGAGACACCTGGCTGACTCACGCCTGTCTGAGTGGACTAATCCATTGCGGAGGCCTCTGGGATGACACCTGTATCACCAGTAGTACATTTACCCTTAATTACCATCATTTATCATCTACAATGTTTGTTTGGTTACGGTAATTTCTGTTAATTCATTCAATATATTATTATTATTATTACAGTCTTGTCGTTGTAGGAGTGGACGCGTTGTTTGCAGAGTGCACAACCTACAGTGGGGAAAAAAAGTATTTAGTCAGCCACCAATTGTGCAAGTTCTCCCACTTAAAAAGATGAGAGAGGCCTGTAATTTTCATCATAGGTACACGTCAACTATGACAGACAAATTGAGAGAAAAAAAATCCAGAAAATCACATTGTAGGATTTTTAATGAATTTATTTGCAAATTATGGTGGAAAATAAGTATTTGGTCACCTACAAACAAGCAAGATTTCTGGCTCTCACAGACCTGTAACTTCTTCTTTAAGAGGCTCCTCTGTCCTCCACTCGTTACCTGTATTAATGGCACCTGTTTGAACTTGTTATCAGTATAAAAGACACCTGTCCACAACCTCAAACAGTCACACTCCAAACTCCACTATGGCCAAGACCAAAGAGCTGTCAAAGGACACCAGAAACAAAATTGTAGACCTGCACCAGGCTGGGAAGACTGAATCTGCAATAGGTAAGCAGCTTGGTTTGAAGAAATCAACTGTGGGAGCAATTATTAGGAAATGGAAGACATACAAGACCACTGATAATCTCCCTCGATCTGGGGCTCCACGCAAGATCTCACCCCGTGGGGTCAAAATGATCACAAGAACGGTGAGCAAAAATCCCAGAACCACACGGGGGGACCTAGTGAATGACCTGCAGAGTGCTGGGACCAAAGTAACAAAGCCTACCATCAGTAACACACTACGCCGTCAGGGACTCAAATCCTGCAGTGCCAGACGTGTCCCCCTGCTTAAGCCAGTACATGTACAGGCCCGTCTGAAGTTTGCTATAGTGCATTTGGATGATCCAGAAGAGGATTGGGAGAATGTCATATGGTCAGATGAAACCAAAATATAACTTTTTGGTAAAAACTCAACTCGTCGTGTTTGGAGGACAAAGAATGCTGAGTTGCATCCAAAGAACACCATACCTACTGTGAAGCATGGGGGTGGAAACATCATGCTTTGGGGCTGTTTTTCTGCAAAGGGACCAGGACGACTGATCCGTGTAAAGGAAAGAATGAATGGGGCCATGTATCGTGAGATTTTGAGTGAAAACCTCCTTCCATCAGCAAGGGCATTGAAGATGAAACGTGGCTGGGTCTTTCAGCATGACAATGATCCCAAACACACCGCCCGGGCAACGGAAGGAGTGGCTTCGTAAGAAGCATTTCAAGGTCCTGGAGTGGCCTAGCCAGTCTCCAGATCTCAACCCCATAGAAAATCTTTGGAGGGAGTTGAAAGTCCGTGTTGCCCAGCGACAGCCCCAAAACATCACTGCTCTAGAGGAGATCTGCATGGAGGAATGGGCCAAAATACCAGCAACAGTGTGTGAAAACCTTGTGAAGACTTACAGAAAACGTTTGACCTGTGTCATTGCCAACAAAGGGTATATAACAAAGTATTGAGAAACGTTTGTTATTGACCAAATACTTATTTTCCACCATAATTTGCAAATAAATTCATAAAAAATCCTACAATGTGATTTTCTGGAGAGAAAAAAATCAAATTTTGTCTGTCATAGTTGACGTGTACCTATGATGAAAATTACAGGCCTCTCATCTTTTTAAGTGGGAGAACTTGCACAATTTGGTGGCTGACTAAATACTTTTTTCCCCCCACTGTATATATATATGTATGTGTGTGTGTGTGTGTGTGTGTGTGTGTGTATGTGTGTATGTATATATAAAACATGGGGGATTGGAAGTGATGCAGACAATTACATTGATGGAAGTTACAATCTATCTGCAATATTAAGCTGCTCTACCCCCCCCCCCCCCCCCCCCCAAAAAAAAAAGTGAATAGTTGATACAATGTTTCAAGTTCCTTGCAGACAGGCCATGCATAACCAATGTGATTTGTAGGATATTTATTTTTATCAGGATATTTTCTACCTGCGGGCTGCAATGTTTTTATTTGTTGGCTTCATGTAGGCTATTTTTACATATTGGCAATGGCAATAGAATGGAAAAGGTTGTCGACAGCTGTTGTAGCCTATTACCGACAACTTCAGGAGCATAATGGCAGAATCTGCGAAGGCCAGCAGCAGCGGGAGGATGGAGGAGGGACGGCTCTGGAACAGGTTTTTCTTCTTCTGGTTAGGCTATATTGGTCTCTGGCTCCCTCTTTAGTAATTTGTGTGTCTTCATTTTTAATCGCAGTGCTTAAAGCATCAGACAAGCTCAGTAGCCTACATATAGTTGATTTTATTTAAACATAGGATGTGTCTATGAATGGAAAAATACACGTTGGTCGAAAGGTTGGTCGATTGGTCGAAAGAACAGACTGCTCTCGGTCGACCAGCATAGTTTTTAGTCAGAGACAGCCCTATTTTAGAGTTAAATTCCTGCGAGTTTTAATTTCCTGCAATTCTACTAATTTTGCCATGGGGTGGAGAGAAATGTTTGAGAGTGACTAACAAAATCAATGGGGCCCCCCCCAGGTCTGTAATTCGACCATGATTACCACAAGTTTAGATAGCTGGCTAGACTAACTTACAAAGCAAAACAAAAATTGCTGACATGGGCTAATTGAGTGACTGTCAGTGATTGACATAAGAGAAAAACTGCTGATGTACAACCAAATTTCAAAATTGCACCTTTTGTATTCTACTATTCTAACTCTCAACAGTAAATTGAGACCCTGGCTGGGTTCCAAAAATGTAGCCTACAAAAGGGGGGCCAGTTGCCCATCCCTGACTTGATTCATACATGACCCTGTCCCCCACAGGTCTGCGGACTCTGTGTTTTGCCTATGTTGATCTGGAAGAGGGGGTGTACCAGGAGTGGCTGAAGGAGTACACCCGGATTAGCACTATCATTAAAGACCGGGCCCAGAAACTAGAGGACTGCTACGAACTACTGGAGAAGGTAAGGGTTAAGGTTGGGGCTAGTGGTTAGCATTGCATTTCTAGTTCGATACTGTAAAGCCATACCTCTGTACTCTCTAGCGTGGCAAGATAGTGATCACCTCTCACCCCGCCCCCTTCAGTCAGTGTGTTGCTTGGCTGGTGGGTTGGTAAGATAGTGATGACCTCTCATCCCGTCCCCTTCAGTCAGTGTGTTGCTGGGCTGGTGGGTTGGTAAGATAGTGATGACCTCTCACCCCATCCCCTTCAGTCAGTGTGTTGCTGGGCTGGTGGGTTGGTAAGATAGTGATGACCTCTCACCCCGTCCCCTTCAGTCAGTGTGTTGGTGGGTTGGTAAGATAGTGATGACCTCTCACCCCATCCCCTTCAGTCAGTGTGTTGCTGGGCTGGTGGGTTGGTAAGATAGTGATGACCTCTCACCCCGTCCCCTTCAGTCAGTGTGTTGCTGGGCTGGTGGGTTGGTAAGATAGTGATGACCTCTCACCCCGTCCCCTTCAGTCAGTGTGTTGCTGGGCTGGTGGGTTGGTAAGAGAGTGATGACCTCTCACCCCATCCCCTTCAGTCAGTGTGTTGCTTGGCTGGTGGGTTGGTAAGATAGTGATGACCTCTCACCCCGTCCCCTTCAGTCAGTGTGTTGCTGGGCTGGTGGGTTGGTAAGATAGTGATGACCTCTCACCCCGTCCCCTTCAGTCAGTGTGTTGCTGGGCTGGTGGGTTGGTAAGAGAGTGATGACCGCTTACCCCATTCCCTTCAGTCAATGTGTTGCTGGGCTGGTGGGTTGGTAAGATAGTGATGACCTCTCACCCCGTCCCCTTCAGTCAGTGTGTTGCTGGGCTGGTGGGTTGGTAAGAGAGTGATGACCGCTTACCCCATCCCCTTCAGTCAATGTGTTGCTGGGCTGGTGGGTTATTTGTCCTGCAGAGGGCAGAGTGGTCCCACTGATCCACTGTAGCGGATATAATGACCTCTCAGTACTGAAGAGGCAGTGTGTGCTAACCTCAGTCAGTCACTCCCCTAAGCTGTACAGACAGAGGACAGCTCTAGTATACATCTGGACATGATGATGCCTGTGGTCATTAAGAGACTGGACATGGCAGCTGTTGGCAGAAAATGTATTCTGAGTGTGAGTATATTAAGACTGGCCATTAGGCTGGAACATGGACACCAGTGCTTTCTTTGTTTGGCTATTTCTCAGGTAGTACTCCAATAAAGAGAGAGGTTTTGAAAGACGGCCCAGAGTTGAGGAGAGGGAAGGTGATGGGATAAAAGAGAGAGGTAGACTGGAAGACCACAGGGATAATTACCCTCACCAGACTGCCAAGAGCCCCGTAAAACTGGAGTCCACAACACTGCACCGTTACCAACTGGGGGGAGTGTGTGTGTACACATGAGCATGCATGTGTGCGCATCTCTAATGAGTGTATTTGCGTGTTTTAATAGAGTTAAAAATAAATGTTTGGGAAACAGTAACAGACTTTCCCTATGCTGCTGTTTGATCCACATACAGAGTTTTAACATGATGCACACCTCTTCTTACCCTGTCGTATGCTGCTGCTGCCAGCCTGTCTCTCCAACTTGGTTGTAGCTTCTAAGATTTCCTCACAACACATTGAACCACCAAACTCCTCAAAGTTGTGTTTTGTCCAGAAAGGCATTTTCTGAATGTATTTGTCTCTCTCTTAGTCTATACCCACCCATTCTGTCATCAATTCTCTCTGTCTGTCTGTCTGTCTCTGTCTCTCTCTCTCTGTAGGACCTGTTGTTGTTGGGGGCCACAGCTATAGAGGACCGTCTCCAGGCGGGGGTCCCTGAGACCATCGCTACACTGATGAAGGCCGACATCAAGATCTGGGTCCTCACTGGAGACAAACAGGAGACCGCCATCAACATAGGTGAGATGGAGGGAGAGTGTGAGATGGAGGGAGAGTGTGAGATGGAGGGAGAGTGTGAGATGGAGGGAGAGTGTGAGATGGAGGGAGAGTGTGAGATGGAGGGAGAGTGTGAGATGGAGGGAGAGTGTGAGATGGAGGGAGAGTGTGAGATGGAGGGAGAGTGTGTGAGATGGAGGGAGAGTGTGTGAGATGGAGGGAGAGTGTGAGATGGAGGGAGAGTGTGTGAGATGGAGGGAGAGTGTGTGAGATGGAGGGAGATGGAGGGAGATGGAGGGAGATGGTGTGAGATGGAGGGAGATGGTGTGAGATGGAGGGAGAGTGTGAGATGGGGGAGATGGTGTGCGTGGGGCGCTGGTGTGGCTGGAGGGCGGTGTGCGCTGGAGGGAGTGTGGCTGGGGGAGTGTGGTGGTGTGAGTGGGGGAGTGTGGTGGTGTGCGATGGAGGGAGATGGTGTGAGATGGAGGGAGATGCTGTGAGATGGAGGGAGAGCATGAGATGGAGGGAGAGCGTAAGATGGAGGGAGAGCGTGAGATGGAGGGAGAGTGAGATGGCGTTTACTTCTTGATGTGTGTTTCTATGCTGTAGCTGAGATTGTATTCTCTGTCTTAGGTTACTCCTGTCGTCTAGTGTCCCACGGCATGTCCCTCATCATCGTCAATGAGGACTCACTGGATGTGAGTACATCTGTTCTTCTTCTTGCCTTACCAATTCCTCCTCTACCATCCATCCATCCACCTCTTCCTTTCCCTCCTCCTCTTCTCCTCCTCCTCATCTTATCCTTACTCCTCCTGCTCCTTCTCCTCCCCTTGTGTGGGGCGGGGGGGGGGGGGGGGGACTGTGTGTGTGTCTTTAAGGTGGGTTCTATAGTGTTACCGTGGGAACCAGGGTGTGGCAGAGCAAAGATTGGAGGGTGTGTTTCTTTGTCTGCGCACAGGTGGAGGTAATTAAGCTGTCTGGTGTTTTCCTGGAGAAAGATCTTTCCCTCCTCTCATCCCTCTGTGTGTCTCTCACTCACACACACACACACACACACACACACACACACACACAAACACACCACACGTCTCTCTCACTCACTCACACACACACATCTCACTCACTCACACTCACTCACTCACACACACACACACACACACACACACACTGAGGGCTTCTTCAGCACTGCAGACACACAAGCGTTGCAGACACACTGGGTTGGCATAGTCATTCTTTATTACATATCTGTGATCATTATTGAGTGTGTGTGTGCAGACCCCAGTGTAGTGTCAGTTGGAGACATTCTGTAGAACACAGTCAAATTCTACAGATTACATTTCAACCTTAGGCTTGTTAAGTTGTGTGTCATTCTAAGTGGTTGTATAACTGTCATTTGAGAACGGCTCATAATGAACACACTCCGTCTCAGTCTGCTAGATTTAGTGGAGTTAATTTGTCTGTGAGACAGATAGTCTGCAGATAGCAGGCAGGGTTACAGCCTGTAAACTCCATTGTGTCTCAGAATGTGTGTATGAAGAGGAATGTGTACTGATGGACTGTGTTGGGATAGACAGAGAGATCAGGGTTACCATACGGAGAGGACGGACAGAGTGCCAAAGAAGATTGTGTTCATTGTAACTGTTTACCTCAGGGTGTGTTCACTGTAACTGTTTACCTCAGGATGTTCACTGTAACTGTTTAGCTCAGGATGTGTTCACTGTAACTGTTTAGCTCAGGATGTGTTCACTGTAACTGTACTATGCACACTTTCCCCTGAACAGTTTTTTATTTACATTGTATTTATGGTTATTATGCAATGATACCCTGAGGACAAAAATTATATAAACACAACAAATATATATATATATATATATATATATATATATATATATATATACAGTGGGGAGAACAAGTATTTGATACACTGCCGATTTTGCAGGTTTCCCTACATACAAAGCATGTAGAGGTCTGTAATTTTTATCATAGGTACACTTCAACTGTGAGAGACTGAATCTAAAACAAAAATCCAGAAAATCACATTGTATTATTTTTAAGTACTTAATTGACATTTTATTGCATGACATAAGTATTTGATCACCTACCAACCAGTAAGAATTCCAGCTCTCACAGACCTGTTAGTTTTTCTTTAAGAAGCCCTCCTGTTCTCCACTCATTACCTGTATTAACTGCACCTGTTTGAACTCGTTACCTTAATAAAAGACACCTGTCCACACACTCAATCAAACAGACTCCAACCGCTCCACAATGGCCAAGACCAGAGAGCTGTGTAAGGACATCAGGGATACAATTGTAGACCTGCACAAGGCTGGGATTGGCTACAGGACAATAGGCAAGCAGCTTGGTGAGAAGGCAACAACTGTTGGCGCAATTATTAGAAAATGGAAGAAGTTCAAGATGACGGTCATTCCCCCTCTGTCTGGGGCTCCATGCAAGATCTCAACTCGTGGGGCATCAATGATCATGAGGAAGGTGAGGGATCAGCCCAGAACTACACGTCAGGACCTGGTCAATGACCTGAAGAGAGCTGGGACCACAGTCTCAAAGAAAACCATTAGTAACACACTACGCCGTCATGGATTAAAATCCTGCAGCGCACGCAAGGTCCCCCTGCTCAAGCCAGCAAATGTCTGGAGGAGTGGGCCAAAATCCCTGCTGCAGTGTGTGCAAACCTGGTCAAGACCTACAGGAAACGTATGATCTCTGTAATTGCAAACAAACGTTTCCATACCAAATATTAAGTTCAGCTTTTCTGATGTATCAAATACTTATGTCATGCAATAAAATGCAAATAAATGACTTAAAAATCATACAATGTGATTTTCTGGATTTTTGTTTTAGATTCCGTCTCTCACATTTGAAGTGTACCTATGATAAAAATTACAGACCTCTACATGCTTTGTAAGTAGGAAAACCTGCAAAATCGGCAGTGAATCAAATACTTGTTCTCCCCACTGTATATTTTAAACTACTAGGCTGGTAGGTAGAGTGTGTGTGTGTGTGTGTGTAGTTAGGTAGAAAGTGTGTGTGGGTAGAGAGTGTGTGTAGGTCAGGGGTATTCAAACTTTTTCAGCGCATTTTTTCCGCTATAATTTCTGGGGACTCCATTTTCTCCCCCCCAAGAGTTTCTTGCGACCCCAACCCAAATCTAATGACAACCTTAAAATCGGTAAATTTGGATTTGTACATCAACAAACAACCTTCAATTCATTGCCATTTCCTCTCTTATCAAAATGAAAATATAAATACATTTTCTATTAATTTTTTCACCTCAAATGATCTTTCTCAAACTTTGTATACTGGGCCTTACAATAATCTGTACTATTAATTTTTTTGTTCTATTTGTATTTTATTTTGGCGACCCTAATGCTGTTCGCCCGTGACTTTGAATACCACTAGTGAAAGGAAAGGGGGATACCTCGTCAGTTGCACAACTGAATGCATTCAACCGAAATGTGTCTTCCGCATTTAACGCAAACCCTAGGGAATAGGGATACCTACAAACTAGGGATCGGATATCCGAAAAAAAAAATTTAAAAGCGTTTTTGGTAAACTTTGAATGGAGACTTGCTCGCGCGACTCGGGATAGAGCAGGTGCGCTGCGCTCTGCTTGTTTCAGAGGGGTGAGGGAGGGGCGGGTGTGTAACGCTGTGTGTGGCATGGAGGGAGGTTGCTAAACCAACTCGTGCTAGTTACACAAACTTGTTGCTGCCATAGGTTATACCATCTGGTAGTGCCGGTCGTGGTTGCATCAAATCGTTGTAAAGAAGCTAGCTAGCTACAGTAGCCAGCAAAGTTAGCCTGCTAGTTAGCTAACATATCAAGGCTAGCTAATATAGGCTATTTTGCTGCGCCCTCCGTCCTCGTCTACTCTCCCAAGTAATCGAATACTAACATCTGTTCGGATATTTGAATATTCGAATAACTGTGCCCATTCCTAGTACACACTTCCCTGAGAGAGGGAGTGTGTAGGGACTAGGGAGACGAGAGAGAGCGCGAGTGAGTGAAAGAGAGCGAGTGAGTGAAAGAGACAGGTCCAGAGAGCTGTGGAGAGAGGAGACACTACAGATGAATGCGAGAGAGCAGGAGATTATCATTCCTAGGAGAGACCTATTGTCCCATTGCAATATATCTCTTGTCCTCCTAGTTTCTCACTCCTTTTTCTCCTTCCCCTGCTTCCTTTCCTCCCTCTGTCTGTTTCTTTAGTTTTTCGGAAGTGAGGCTCATCTCTGTTGATCTTGCATTTGGTAGTCAGGCGGAGGTCTCTCCTTCCCTCCTCTCCTCCTCCCCTCTTTTCTCCCCCCTTTCCATGTCTCCTTCACGCTGCTACCTATACGTCTGTCAGCACCCTCTCTATGCACAGGAAGGTGTGTGTGAACAAGACAGGGAATCTGTTTATTATGTTTTATGTGTGACATGGAAAAGTAAGAGAGAAAGAAGGATAGAGGGAGAAGTAGAGAAATGGGGAGAGGCGTAGAGGAAGCCATCTGAGGGTGATGATTGAGGAGGGTAATGTGATCTCCTTTTGTCGCTCACTCTCGTCAAATCAAACCTTCTGAGCAATGCCTCCTGGGTAAACATGGCAGCTTGTGACAGTGACGCTGTGACACGCTCCATCTGTCACCTTCATATCAAACACACACACACACACACTCTCAGACTCAGTCTTTACAGTAGAAGTGGTGGCTTGTACAGACCAGGCTAATAGTCTTAGATATACATTTCATCAATCTTACCCACAACCCCCCTCTGTCCTGTCACACCGCCCGCGTTACACGTCTAACACAAACATCCTCACTGTGCTGCTCATTAATCAACACACACACACACCTCTCTTTAATAAAGACACTATGTAGACACTTACGTAGTCTGACAATTTATGGTCACAGTTTATGTCAACCTTCTGTGTGTATGTCTAGGTGTGTTGTTGTGTCTGAGTGTGTGTGTGTGTGTAGCTTTGTCTGTCAGGCAGACTGTGGAGGATGTGGGTGTTTGTTTGTACAGATGCTTGGCTGATAATTAAATGGTTTATTAAATCTCACTGGTGACAGAATCTGCACTTCAGATATGAGCGTGTCTGTCTCCTCCCCCTCTCTCTCACCCTTCACAGAGGTGTGTGTGTGTGTGTGTGTGTTGAGAGAAGGTGACCTGTGATATGTCACACCATCTGAACCTTACTGCCCAGCTCTAAATATAAACCTGATAAGATTCAACACAAGAGCCTGAGAACAAGGTTTACAACGTGTGTGTGTGTGTGTGTGTGCGCAAATGTGTGCTTATGTGCAAGTGTGTGTGAATCTGTGTTTCAGCTTGTTCCCAGCTCAGATGCATACGAAAAATACTATTTCGTTTCGAGCTGAAAAATTCCTGCTACTGAGAGATCTGTCATCAAATCAATCAAATCAAATGTTATTCGTCACACAATTCATAAACAGGTGTAGACTAACAGTGAAATGCTTACTTACAGGTCCTTGTCAACAATGCAGAGAGAAAGGAAATAGAGAAATAATAGAAAAGTAATAACACATAATAATAAAAGTAATAATAAATACACAATGAGTAATGATAACTTGGCTATATACATGGGGTACCAGTACAGAGTCGATGTGCAGGGGTACGAGGTCATTGAGGTAGATATGTACATATAACTCGGAATAAGTGACAGATAATAAACAGTAGCAGCAGCGTATGTGATGAGTCAAAGTTAGTGCAAAAAGGGTCAATGCAGATAGTCTGTGTAGCTATTTAGGGAGGAGGTCAGAGACCTGACAGTGTTGTGCCAGGACAACAACCTCTCTCTCAACGTCAGCAAGACAAAGGAGCTGATTGTGGACTACAGGAAACGGAGGGCCGAGCACGC